AGCGTGTACCTGCTGTACTGCCATATGTTAGAGGAGTAACTGACAAGATTGGCTACATCTTGAAGCGCGCTTCCATCAAAACATACTTCAAGCCGCTGAAGAAGTTGGTCAGTTTTTACCATCGGTCAAGTGTAATGTCCCTCTGCAAGATGCAGGAGTGTACAAGCTTGATTGTGAATGTGGTCTCTCCTACATAGGACAAACTAAAAGATCAATAAAAACCCGCGTTAAAGAACATATAGCTGATGTGAAGAATCGACGCTCCGGGAAGTCTGCAGTCTGTGAACACGTACAGGATCGCCCCCGTCACTACATCAGATTTGATAGACCGCAGATCCTCGCTAAAGAACACCGATTCCTTCCAAGGATGATTTGCGACGCTATTGAAATCAAAAAACATCCTAATTTCAATAGAGAAGATGGCTGGGTGCTACCATCTGCTTGGGATCCTATAATAAATAAAATTAAATCCCAACCCAAGCATACAACTGCAAGACTTCAAGATACCATAAGTTCATACTGCATAGATCGGAACAAAAGTTAAATTTTAATCTATGGTAACCGCGGTTAACTATGACATATGGACGTTGAACATCTCAGTCCTGCCCGTGACCATGAGTGCTGTAAAGCGTTCGAAACGTCGGGTATTTAAAAAGTTAAAATATACGCGATAAATTCCGTAAAAACTAGTATTATTTCAATACGTTATCGTCCTTTCTCACACGAGGCCACGCTAATCATTAGTCTATTGGTTTCTCTTTCTACGTATATTGCCATAAGGCACTGACCTCTATATATACAAGTACGCTGGACTGGCTATACACTGTGACATGATGAACACATGACAACTGACATCAGAAGTGCACGTCCGCGGAACTAATACTAGGGATAAGACAGTGTACCAAATTATATCGATAAAAAGTCTATACCCTACCTATACCTAAATAAATAGAATGCACTCTATGGATAGATGGACTGTACCCGTAACGTCCATTCTATTTATGTATCATATTAATATAATGCCATTATCATTCATCATCATTAAAACCCTTCACAAATCCACTGCTGAACATAGGCCTCCCCCAAGGAATGCCACAAAGCACGGTCCTGAGCTACCTGCACCCATCATTTCCTGCATGTCTTACCAGGTTTTGACTCCATCTAGTGGGGGAACGTCCTACACTTCACCTGCCGCCCAACCAAGTTGAATCCGTCGATTGACAATCAATCAATCCATGGACCTACCTAGTCGGACTATTTGTCCCAATAAAAATACTCATCAACAACTTCAGCTAAGTGCTCCCAAAAACCACCGGCATAGGTGTGACATGGACATTACACATGACTTTTGCTTTGTCCATGTTCATCTTAAGACCTGTCCGTTGGGAGACACTATTGAGGTCATTGAACATAGTGTGTAGATCCTCCAGCGATTGTGCCATAAGGACTATATTGTCGGCAAATCGAAGGTGAGTGACGTACACGACATTGATGTTAATACCGTATCCTTTCCAGTCCAGTAGGTTGAAAACGTTTTCAATGCAGCGGTGAAGAGTTTCGGGGATACAGGGATATTTCGGGGATATTACGTCACCCTGTCTTACACATTTCCACAGTTGGATTAGATTTGTACTCTGGTTCTGTACTCGGATAGCCATCATAACCCTTAACCATTCAACTAAAAAATATTAAGATTAAACTAAGTACACAAAATAAAAATAAAAACATAATTTCTAGAATAATTTTTTGTCAACCGTTCATTTTGTTTTAGTATTATAAAAAAAATAAATCAGCTGCTACAATAACGCATAATTAATACTAATTAACTACAGGTCTGTCTATTGACAGTAAAATATTTTCTACTATATAAAAAATTTTGTTTGTTCGTACTTTCTACGATGCCATACCGTTCATCAGATTGCGGTAAAACTTAGTCAACTTATTGGTTGCACTTGTGCGAAGGTTATACGCATGGTACAATTAACTGACACTAGGTGGCGTGCCTATTATCCTGACTATTTATTTGAAAGTTATAGAAAGTTATATATCATTCTATTTCAATGATTGTATTATCATTCCTAATTATACAATATAACTGTTCCACATTTTAACGATATTCCCACAATTATTTCTACTGTGGCAGCAATGCGCCGGGTATGAGCTAGCAAGATAATATAAAAAAATTGAAACTTTGAATTACATAGTTATCAGTTATTTACATCATTCTCGAAATTAAAATTATAATATTAAAAAAAAATAACTGAAATTATCAATTACCGAGCCCGATATGTGAATGGAGCCAGAGGAGAAAGGAGCACTTGGAAGCGTCAAGTGAACCGCGAACCAACACTCCTCTTCCCTTACGACTCCACCTCGACTACAGCGGTACAGGGAGAGGAATCTCCTCTAGCCGCAGCCCACTAGCACACATCCAACGTGGCTCGACATCATCAGGCGACCTTTCAACACTTGGCTATGGCCCTTGAGTTTAGTGGAAAATGAGGAAAGAAGATATAAAAAAAAGCATTCGAAATAATAATCTAATACTTAGTACTTGGTAGTTGGTAGTGCTTGGTGCTGCTACTACCAGAAAATATTTTCGGTATACTGCACTTTTTCAAAATGGTGTACTTCTCATGTCTAATAAAACAGTCGTCTGTGAAATGTTTGGAACAAATATGATCATTTTGTTTCGAACGCCAATTCACAATATTTATGATTTTAAGCCAGTTGGAAACCTGTTAATTAATAAACATTTGATAATCATCTGTTGTTGGTGACTTTGTTTGTTAACAGATATGGGTAGGAAAGAACATCGATAAGTATTATAGACAAGGAACTCGACAACCCTATTGAATTTTATTGTTTATCAAGACTCCGTAATATACAGCCAAACATGTTGGTATATATGATATTAAGATTAGTAACAAATTTCTAAGTACTTATATTATCAAATAGTTTAAATTTGTCTTATATTTAATGCAAATTCACTTACTTGTGAAATGTTATACCACTTCCCTTTTGGTAACAAGTTTTACAGATTACGCACCCTCTCATTATTAATAAAAATAATTCTTATTATATAACTAATATTATACACAACCAAACAACATAAAATACTTTCGTTTTTTAGTTTAAAAGTTCAAAATATAGACTTATTATGTATGACAATATGAATAAGACAACATACTTTGGCATATTATGTCAATTTTATTTTTCAAGACATCCTTTAGCGGCGCTTCAAATTGGCACAGTCATTTTATATGGCCAGTTTTTTTTTGCGCCCGAAGCAAATATGGGCAACCCTCCGGAAAGCGGGGGAGGGAGGTTGGGAATGCTCACAGCATACCACGCAGCCGGCTGCGTGGTTATGTGGTGACTTTTATCCACTAAACCCAACCTTTTAGGAACTGGCTTAACGATCTGACTAGAGATCTCTAAGACGTATACGAACGCGACCCTCCTTGGCAGAAAAGAGGGCGCAGTATAGCCAGTCCAGCGTACTTGTATATATAGAGGTCAGTGCCATAAGGAATTTACTTCTCTCTTGCACACTATGTTCGTCTATTACTATCCTAAGTCTATGGTTTAAAATATGCTAATGCGTCACTATTATTTTGATCTCAGAGTAGGCATGTCGATTCACTCTTTAAAAAATCGTACTCCGAATCGATTTGAATCGAAGATACTAGAATCGATTATCGATTAAATCGAGGATTAAAAAACCGATTTTCGATTAATCGCGACATTTTTAAACACATTTCAAGAATTTGCGACTTTATCTTTAATTGAAGTTTAATATTTTTTTTAATAATATATTAGTAATCTTATTAATTAACATTACTATTATTCCTTCGAACCACTCCTGGTAAGCTTGAAACGCTTGTGTTAGGTGTGGTTCGCACATACTCCACTCGATCCCTTTTTTACAAAGTGATTCTATGTATCACTTTTATTTGACATTTTAGGCTAAAAACAACAACAATATATTAACAAAAGTGCAAACTGCAACGTACATTTCGCGATAAATCTGTTTCCATCTAAAAACTCACTATCAAATCGAAATGAATGCTACACGAACAGAATACTGGTTATTTCCTTACTATAAAACTTCAAAATATAATATTTATTTATAGTATCTAGGTATTTAAAAAGTACTCTATCTGTACTTACAGCTCACAGTATGTATATTTTTGATAATAAATAAAGTAAATTTACAAGTTCACTGTTCAAACAGGTTCACAGCTATAATATTATATTGTAGTATGTATACGTAGGTAGTCTTTGTTCACAGCACAGATTAAGTTAGACCAACATTCCACAGGTAAGATTAGAGTTAGAATTGTATAAATGTAAATAAAATGACAACTTTTCGATATTGTTGGATGCTTTCATAAATATTTATTTTATTCAAATATATATTGCGTTCAAATCATCAACCAAGTACGATTGGTTGTTATTGCGTCCCCTAACAGCAAAAAAATAAAAAAACTGCGGTATATTACCCCAGCCAGTTTGGGTATTTTATCGCTAGTTCTTGAATCAGAAGAATCAGTCCAATTCGAGAGGTTTTTGGATCGATTCAGTGAATCGATGCAGTGCTCCGAATCGATCTAAATAATCGATTATTTTACTCCAAAGAATCGATTTTTCGATTAATCGATTTTAGATCGACATGCCCTTTGAGCATAGAAAATTGTCTATGCTCAAAGGACATGCCTAACTGCCCTACCGGTTAAATCCTCCAAATAGTCTCTGAGTCTGTGGCTTTTTTGGCAAGGCAATAAAACAATATTGTTTATGGCCATATATACACAGTAATCTATGGTTTATGGCGATGCTCACAAATCAACATGGAATAGTATTTTCCTATTTCTTGAATATTCCAAAGAATACTAAATTGTAAGCAAATTATTCGATAAAACTAACAATTCTTATTACTTATTTAACTAAAATGATACTTAGTGTTATTGTAAACAGTGCACTTACTTTTCTTTATCATGTCCGACACAATTGATTTGGAGAGGAACAATCTCTGTACAACACAAGACGCATTTGAAAATTTTCAAGCGGTATCCATGTACGAAGAAAGTGAATGTATTGTTTTGCCTAATACATCAATCACCCAGCCGGAGACTGCAGGATCGACAAATGCATTAAAAGAGTTATCATGTGACACCGAAATCGAAATATCTTCGACAGTTGATGATCAATTGCAAAGTGTAAATAGTACATCAAAACCGTATAAAGAAACGAAAAAATCCATAAAGGTAAGTTCGGAAAGGAAAGTGCTTTGTAGTAAGTCATTGAAGTCGATTGCTCGGAAAAATAAGAGAGGTAGGAAAAAGAAAAATGTGAATGGTAACAATGGGACCGCCGGTGAAAATATAACACCTGTACCTATATCACATACAAGTGATATTGCCGAAGATGTAGCTATGGACGAAAAAGACAGTGTTATTCGAGATCCCCAAGTAAGCACTACACAGGGCAGTTCAGGAACTATTGAAGAAAAGATTTCATTTAAAACTGTTTCAAAAAAAGGTATTAATAAAAGCCATAACAAAAAAATTAGTACAGGTAAAAGAGGAAGACCAAGACTTAGTGATAAGCCTGTACCTGAATCCCACAAATTCAAAAACAATGAAAGTGAAAGCAAAAGCAAAAGTAATAAAGGCAGGCGTGGGCGACCAAAGAAATTAAGTAAAGTACTGGATACAAATTTAATACCAGAAAATATTGAAAGTGAAATACAAACTGAAAGTACTCTGAAACTTACTAAACATGTCGATATGAATTTAGTCCCAAAAGATTTACCATTAGTGAAATTGAAAAATGGAAAGTCATTAGATGAATGTAATAAAGAAGTGGGTTGTGATGCTGGTAGATTAGAGAAGCAAAAATCTATTAAAAAGAATATGTCACCAGAAAAAATGCTTAGTAATCCAGAGTGTGTACCAGATTCAGGGTTAAAAGAAAGTCAAGGCATTGTAGAGAATATTTCTAGTAATAAAGATGTGAACAATTTAAATGAACAAACTGAACATGCTGAAATTAAATGTAACATAAATAATGCTACAGAGGTTTGTGAAGACAGTTTATCAAAAAATAATTTTCCCGATGATGATGAGGCAGATGATATTTGCTTAAGTAAGCTAAAAGAAACCCTTGATACTTCCAAGAGTGAAAAGCTACCTGTGAGAACTGAAGAGCAATCTATAAATTCATTAGACATTAATGTGAATGAAAATGATGTAGTGAATGGTAATTCTATTAAGAGGGACTCTAAAATGCCAAATATGACAGACAATGAATACAATACTAATAACAGTATTGTTGCAAATGAACAAATTATGAGTGATGTAGATAATGCTGTAAAAGGTGATCATAATCTGTCTTCCATAGTTGAAAGTTCTAGCGGAAGACCTTTGCGAAGAAAGGGTAAACCAAATTTACATTATGATGAAGATTCTGATGAAGATCCTTTTGCAAATGTAGAGTTATCTGACGATGATGGTGAACCTAGAAGATCCAAAAAGGGAAGGTGTTATTCCGATGATGAATATATACCTGGTAGAAAGCGTGGACGAATTTCTTCATCAGATACAACAGACAGCGATATAGACAAAAATGAAGAAGAATTGAAGAAAACGAAAAGGAAACGTGTTAATAATAAGAATATCAAGAAAAGAGAAAAGAAGCATAAAGACAAAAATATAGAAACACCAAGAGGGGACACTAGTCAGTCAATGGATATGCCATTAACAGCAGATGAAAATAGTCAGAAAGAAGATGGTGTTGATGTTGGTGTAGAAGGTAAAGTTATTAAAATAGATGATGACTATTCCTCTACACCTTCTAATGTGTGGGGCACAACTCATGAGTTTGAAAATTTCTTAGCAAAAAAAATTCAAGGCACAAATTTAAAAATTCAGAAGGTGTCAAACATCCAACCCAGAGCAATAACACCTTTAGAAATTCCGGTTATTGATCCAAACATGGTTAAAAAAACAATTGAGATGAGTGCTCAAACAAATGCTATTCAAACAGCAACTGCAGCAGTACAAACAACTACACCATATGACATTCCAATGAAAACAAATGTTCCCCTTTCAGCAGAACAAGCTGAAAAGGCATGTGAATTTTTGAAAGATATTGTAAAAACAACTTCCGAATTAGGTGAACTAATGACTCAAAAATCGGAAGACTTTATTCAGAAGAAAATTAATACAAAGCATGTTACTGACACATTTAAAATGGATTACTGTGTAAGAAAATCATTTTTATTATTTAAACTTGCAAAGCATAATTTGATGCAAATGGAAGAAGATTTATCAAAACAATATGAAGAATTTTTGAAGAAAAATGATTTGCTGCAATATAGGGAGGTGCCAAAACATATTACACCTCAAATAAAGTTGATTGATAGTGACAGTGACTGTGAGATCGTAGAGGATACAGACTCCAAAATAAATTCAAAAGCCAAGGAACAGCCAAAATTCAATCTCAAAACTGTATTCCTCAATAAAGAATTATCAATAAAAATAGCCAAAAAGCCAAATGAGGAACCAAAAGGCAAAGACAAAATTAATATTAAAGGCAAGCGTACTGTATGGCTTAATGACTCTGTGATGGTAAAAAAAGTGCAACCAAAACAGTCTTTTTTAGCCCAGGACAGCCGCAATAAAAAACCCCCTGATACATATGTCACTTATAAAATGGTGAGCGATTTTTTTAAAGATTATTACTATCAGACTGCAAAATCAATTTGTGCTCCATTTATTACCACAGAATGGTTTTACTTAAACGAAAATAATGTTCCCTGCAATTACTTTTATATAAGACCATCAGAATTTAATATTAGTCCTGGTTATTTTCAAAATGGTGAATCAACAAATAACATAGATGCCTCAGAATCTGACATCAATACAAATGGACAATCTAGTGACAATGTTAATGATAGAACTTATCCAAAGGCATTACTTTCATTATGTGTTCAAGTTCTTCAAAACAGTATGCTTCACACCATAAACAATGGAAGGTATCAGGAAGAAGTCTGCGGTAATACAAATAATATTGCAGATTATAAGCGAGACAACCCAGAATCATTGTTTCGGTTATGTGTAAATAACATAAAGTGTATATTAAGTGAAGACAATGGCAAGAGGACATGGTCAAAATTACCAAACAGTAAGGGTTTTATAGTTGAAGAAAAAAGTGTTCAAGTTCTACATAATAATATGCTTCACACCGTAAACGATCAAGGGTATCAGGAAGAAGTCAGCGATAATACTAATAATATTGCAGATTATAAGCGAGATAACCCAGAATCATTGTTTCGGTTATGTGTAAATAACATAAGATGTACATTAAGTGAAAACAACAGCAAGAGGACATGGTCAAAATTACCGAATACTGAGAGTTTTATAGTTGAAGAAAAAATTAGCTCACTAAAAACTTTATGTTACAAAATAATTGTTAAACAAATTTTTACACCATTCGCTATAAGCAATAACTGTAACATCTTGCTGCCACATAAATTTCATGATAATCATAAAAGAAATACAGTTAATTCATTATTCTCACTATGTGTAAACATTGTGCAAAAAAGTCAAAAGACAAATAACAATTATAAGAATAAGAGTAATGAAGTTCATTTATATTCACCATGTTCTTTGAAATATATAACTCTTTCTTGCATATTATCTCTAATGAAAAATAATGAGAAAAAGAATCAAGAAAGTACAGTGATTTGTAATTTAAATATTGAAGAAAGTCATGGGTTTTTAAACAATAATAATGAGAAATTTGCAACTGATATGCATTTTATAAAAAGTAGTGAAAAACAAAAATTACTTCAAAAGAATAACACATTGGAAGATATTGAAAAGTGTAATTCTGTGAAAAATAAAATAAAAAAATTGTCCAAAATTTGTATTGAAAAAATTTCTTTAATTTTTGGTGAAAATTATCAAAATAAAATGTTAGAATTTGACTCCATACAAATAAATTCTGTCAACACGGTACCAGATGAGGTGTTTTCCAGTTTACAAAACATTTCACCAAGTTTTGAAGAGGGTGCTGTATCTTGTGATGTTGATGATACAAATAGTAATGACGAGGATATATTTGATGATTACAGTGAAGAAGTTAATCTGTTAACAGAACCTTTATGTCCTTTAAATGAGACTAGTGAAAATTCAAGCTTAATTCAAATACAAAAATCAAATACAGAAATTATTAGACCTGAAATAACTCAAGTGAAAACAGAACCTTTGGAAGAAGACATTCTAGAAAATGAAGAAATTCCATTTATAAAAATAGAACAAGATGAAAATGTTGAGGATTCTAGTTTTATCCCACTACTTAATAATGTAGTGGCTGCAAAACAAGAAAATGCTTTTCAATCAACCAATGAAAAAGTAAATAATTGTTATGATGAATCATTCTTAAACGAAAAAGGAATGTTGGATTATGATAATAGAGAAAGCTTTAATCTTGAACAAAAAGTTTTCAGTCAGAGTTCCCTGAGGGTCCGTAGACAATTTGAACCTGATTCTGACACTGAAGCTGATAATACTATGAGCTTACTAGTTCCACACACATTTGAATCATTAAATATTGATAAAGTTAAAAGCACACTTATGGAAAATTCTACTTCCGATGAAGAAACAGTTACACAAAAACGAACACCAAACAAAAAAAAGCTTGAAAGGCGGAAAACTAAATCAAAGCCTTTATTAACGAAAAGAAATAAAGATGTTTCCAAAGAACTACCAGTGACTAATGAAGTTGATTTGTTAGCTGAAAAAATGCAGGATAAATTAAGACAAACAGAAAGAAACACACAAAGTTCTGACTCTGAAACCGAAAATATTGCTTTAAGTTTAAGAAGGGATAGGAAAACAAAAAAAGATAGCATAAAAGAATCTGATTTTATAAACAAAACAATTTTGCCTGATGAAATACAGTGTAGTAATGTAGATTCTACACAAAAAATAGTTGATCATGTTGAGGATACATCCAAAAATGATAATGAAAATTCGAGTGGTAGTACTTTAAATAAAAATGGATTGATAGAATATAACAAATATGTTAATGATCTATATTCTAGGATGAAGTTTTCAAGTGATACATCAGAATTAAAAAATGATTCAAAAAAGCTGTCAAATAGTCAATTTAATGAAGAAAATGAAGATTCAGATAGGTCATACTCGCCTGCAATAAATACTGATGAGCCCATAGAATTATTACAATGTGAACCCAACTTGTCCTTTCTTAGCAATGATGTTGATGACGAAACAGTTTCAACGAAAAACGATAACCGAGATGAAAGATGTCAGGATACAAATAAAATTTTTGAAAATGACCCTAGCAGTAAATATGAAAAAACTAATAATCTTTTACCCATAAACCTTAATGAGTGGAAATGTTATCCTGTTGATGGTAACGACACTAAATTGTGTCAAGAAGCTGTTGTGGTTTTAGAAAAATTACCAGAAGCATTTGTTGAGACATATTTCAAATATCAAGATATTATACACCGAGATAAAGATGATATTGAAGTAGAAAGGTAGGTAAAAAACCAAATGTTTCATTTAATTATTTTCAGAGAAATATGAAAACTTTTATTGTTCTTTTCAGATTAACAAACTTACAATCATTACATCGAATAAAAAATTTAAAAGTCAATTCCAAAGCAACAGACAAGCCTAATGGTAATATTTTACGAAAATCCTTAAATTCTCGTTCAACCTCGCCATCTTTAGATATTCATCAAGATAGTGATAGCAAAGAATTAACACCCTCTGAAGACGAGGTAGATAATGCTGATGAATCGATCCCACTTGTAAGTATTACTTTTAATGTTGGTTAAAATGTATATTAGGTCTACCCCTATGTAATTGACATTTTTTATGAAATAGTTTACTGTAATTTTTTTTGCTATAATTTTATTTCTATTAACCAAAGAAATTACCCATGCAATCAATAATCTTTGCCAATGCAGTAGCAGTTTATTTCAAGGCCTTTTTGTACTGCCTCTCGGGTATTGAATTTTTTTTCCCCAGCAAAAAGTTATCCAAGTTCTGAAAAAAATAGAAGTCTGTAGGCGCAAGGTCTGGTGAAGTAACTAGCAGACCGGCAGTATGAGATCACGCATTGTCGTGCAGGAGCAGCGGCAACTACCGCTTGACCAAAGCTGGTTGGAGATGTGTGCGAGCTTCTCCATCATTATGTTCAGTTCTTCACAGTACACATCTACAGTAATGTTCATCCCGTTTGGTAAGAAGCTGCGATGAATCACATCAGCGCTAGACCATCAAACAGTGATCATCACTTTTCTAAGGGTAAATTTGTCACTTAGGGCATTGTTTAGGTACTGAACCAGGATCCAACCAACTTTCTGAGTACTTGCGATTGACAAACAGATTTCATTTTTCGCGGTTCTAAATTCCTTTGTTTGTGTGCCTGTTGAGCAGTGCAAGGCACGACTTGACGCGTACTTCGCGCGGCGATTATTGAGTTCATGGGGCACGCATTTGTCAAGCGTTTTTAGTTTGCCAAAATTGACGCAAATGAACCAATATTGTTTTGATGCTAACGTCGAAAGGTGCTGCTAATTCAGCCGTATATTGAGTATCATCAGTTCCACGATCTCCTTTAATTCGTCATTGTCGATCGAAGTTTTCGGACGACCACGGGGTTCATTTTTCAGGTCGTAATTTCTGGAACGGAAGCGGGCAAACTAACAACTGGTGGTTCAGTCGTTTGTGGTATTCGCTTCGTAAACGTCGTTGATGTTGCGTGCCGCTTGTGCTGCGTTGCTGTCACGATGATATTCATATTCCATAATTTTTTAACATATCCATGTTTACGAAAAATATACAAATGCGATAAAAACATAACGCTAATCAATTAACAAATGGTTAATTTTGAAAATAGAATTTCATGTATTGCAGGATGGCAATTTCATAGGTAAAGACCTGTTATAATACTTTTTTGTGGCAGCTTAATTAAATTGAAATAAAGAGAAGATATTGACAATTCTTATAATTGTTCAAATAATTGGTGGTGTATATGTATTCAATTAGTTATTTTTCACTAAGTAAATCTCGTTCTTGAATTAAAACTAGCAAATATTCGCGCAATACACGAACCATATTTTTGGACGATATGTGTTTTGCAGTCCTAACTGCCACAGTAGTGATCACTATGATTAGGAAACAAACTTTTTATTGAATTTATAAATAATACTTATTGAAAGTCACTTTTTGCTTAATAAGCACTGGCTTGGAGAAAACCCCTATCCTGGGAAGAACCAGCAAGAAACCCAGCGGAACTTTAAAAAATTTGATCAATGAAATGATTAAAAAAATTAATCAATGTAAAACAAATTTGAAATAGCTTGGTAGCAATTACCTCGTTCCCAGGGATTATTAATTATCACCCATAAATTCTTACTATTATAAAAACCCTTTTTATACAATCGTAGTTTAATAAAGTTTTTAAACTTTGAGCGGGTCAAATTTTGATTGCTGAAGTTTGTCGCGAGTCCTAATCCAAGCTGAAAACAATATCCAAGCAAATATACATTGTTGATTTTAGGTTTGGTTGTGTTGTAAGCGTCCTAGTGTTTGCAAAATTGTATCTAAGTTTTCCACCAATCTTATTGCAGAAAGTGTTGTAAAATATGATATATGATTTGGGTGTGTTCGGATTAGTTAGTGTATCCACATTTTCATATACTTTTGAAGCAGAATAATATCTTCTGCATAGATGATAATATTAAGAAATTGATGTTGCCTGCTCAGTTTTAGGGGTGATAAAATCATAAGCCTAGATTATTATACTGGTTCCCACTACAGTGCTAAACATATTTATCAAACTTTTGTTAGCAATTAATAAACAAACTGTGAAATTCTGAGTACATCTTATGTTCTTTTCCATTTTAAATTGCATCTTTAAAGGTTCGGCCACAAATCTCTGAAAACTCTTTGGCAAAGAATACTCTTATGGAAGAAGATAATGACAATGATTTACTACCTGATAAACCCATTAAAGAAGAACCAGAAGATATTGAAGAAAAGCCAGACTTAGTGACAATAAATAACCAAAAACAGCCAAAAAAAATTAAACACAACCAAGAAATAAAAGGCATTAAAACAAAATTAGCAATGGAAACAAAAATAAAGTTAGAAGATGAGGAACCTCAAGAACCATTAATGTTGACAGCAGATAAAGTGATGAATAAAGAACTAACATTATTAAACACACCCGTGGTAATGAGAGATGACATCAATGATAACCTATCTAGAAAGAGCTCTTTAAGAAATAGTTCTGTAAGTGCTTTTTAGTATTCTTTGATTTTATTATTGCCTATGTTAATTTTTTTTAGAATAAGGGTGACAAAAGAGCACACAGTCCACCTAATGGTAAATGGATGCTGTGGCCCATAAACATCTACATGTATCAAGAAATCAAGAATATATTAAGAATCAAAATGCAAATGCATTGCCATCGCTGAGAGCTAAAATGGAATGCCTTATTTCCAGTAAAATGGGTCTCCGGTTCTCGACACACACCATACGAAACAGAGCAGCATTGAGCTGCTATTTTACACTGGTATTCTGTGAGAGCGTGGTCTTTCCCCTGTCAAGTCGAACCATTCATGCTACAACCATTACAAAGCTGCAGAGCTCTACCACATAGCAATTTAATCTCATAGTCTTGTGTCAAATGTAGCCCCTGAGCAAAGCGCTCGTCGAAAATTTCACAGTACAGACTGTAAAGGAAAATACAACGAATAGACTTGCATGTCTTAGAAATAAAAAAAATTGTAACTTGTGAAGTCCACCAACACATGCCGATGGCAGGCTAGGCATACATTGTTTCCTAGTAATCAAGTTATTAGCAGAAATATTTCCCCCTCATCAATAATATATAGAATCTGGTTTAGTCATTTTTCAATGTTTTGCCTTCATCCTATCCTGAGTTAGCAGGAGGATATAAGAATAATTGGGTGCACAGTGTTTTCTTCCACTCTTGACTCCACAGAGTTGTTCTATAAATGGTGGTGGACTAAAAGTTATGGACATTTCTTTAATAAGAAGTTGATGAACAGCTAATTCTGTTTTAATTGCAATAGTCTTGCAACGAATAATCTGCTAATATTCGGTATTCGACCTGTTCAACTACTTTTATCCTATTCGGCTGAATAGTACCTATTTGTCCGAATACCGAATACTTAAGCATGTGTTATTTCAAATAACACCTCTTGCTCTTGCTTGGATAGACAAATAACTTATTTTATCAGAAAATTGTCCAATTGTATAGTCAGAGAATTGGTAAAATGAAAAATGTGCATGTGCGCGTATGTGCATGTGCGCCTATGAGCATGTGCGCCTATGAGCATGTGCGCGTATGTGCATGTGCGCGTATGTGCATGTGCGCGTATGTGCATGTGCGTGTATGTGCTTCTGCGCGTATATATGCGTGTGCGTGTATGTGAGCGTGCGCGTATATGCGTGTGCGCGTATATGCGTGTGCGCGTATATGCGTGTGCGCGTATGTGCGTGTGCGCGTATGTGCGTGTGCGCGTATGTGTGTGTGCGCGTATGCGCGTGTGCGCGTATGTGCATGTGCGCGTATGTGCGTCTGCGCGTATGTGCGTGTGCGCGTATGTGCGTGTGCGAGTATGTGCGTGTGCGCGCATGTGCGTGTGCGCGTATGTGCGTGTGCGCGTATGTGCGTGTGCGCGTATGTGCGTGTGCACGTATGTCCGTGTACGCGTATGTGTGTGAGCGTGCGTGCGTGCGTGCGTGCGTGCGTGCGTGCGTGCGTGCGTGCGTGCGTGCGTGCGTGCGTGCGTGCGTGCGTGCGTGCGTGCGTGTGTGTGTGTGTGTGTGTGTGTGTGTGCGCGCGTGTGTACGTGTCTCAAAAAGAACTTGCAGATTTTTATTTCTTTAGATGCATTATCATAGTTATCTGTTTTCAAGGTGTATCAAAAAACTACAGATGATTGGTCAATTTTTGACAGGTCTTCTTTAGGCACGTTGGGCACTATTTAGTTATATGATTTTTTTCTCGAGAAGTACGGCCTAAGAGTTGAGGTGAGATTGTGGATAACATTTTACGAATTTTTGCTTACACTATTTATACGTTTATGGTTACTTACACACGTTCGGGGCCACGTATCATTAATACGGCTGATACGGCAGTAGCTACGTCCCTGATTCGTGCTAGTTGCCACTAGTGTTACCCTTGCGCTCGCCCGGACTCGCGCAGTCACGCACACAGAGAGAACGTTTTAGTGTGCGTCAATATTAAGCTGTATCAAAACGATCGCGTAGATTTTGACATATATATGTATATATATTATAGTATACATATAGTATATGTATATATATTATAGTATACATATAATATATGTATTTATATGTAGAAACGTAGATTTTGCATTATATTATATAGCGCATATTTGAATTTTGAATATACGCTCTTAAACGTGGAGGAGAGAAATGGGTGTTAACGTTGAGTGATAACTGATTAATGTCGAATTATATATTATATATCAAATAATGTATGTATTGTACTGTAGTTGTTTTGATTTATTTTATACTAAATTGTGTAAGCGCATTATGTCCAATTATGCATATAACACTGTTGTTATGTTTTTCAAAATGATCATCAATTCATGAAATCACTACTACGTAATTTAAATGTGGAGGGATGTAGCGTATTAAGTCGGTACGGTTTTGACAGCTGCCCTGATAGACGCTTAAGATTTCGGTATGTTTCAATAAATCTTTCCCTTATTCCTTGAATAGCAAGGATATTACAATTTAAATAAAACTAGTTTTTACGAATTTTATCGCGTATATTAAAATATACTTTACAGAATCCATGGGGGGGGGGGGGTATGCTGTAAGGTGCTGGAAACGTCGGAAATATAAAAAGTTAACATGCGCAATAAAATATGCAAAAACTAGTTTTATTTAAATGTGTAGTGTTCCGTAAGTATAAGAGGTCATTACAGTTTTTGTACACCTAATGTGTCTGTAATATTTTTTAGAAAAAAGTATCTAAGAACTCTGGAAACAAAGATCGCATAGAACAAGATCAATCTTCTGAGGAAGAGGAGAAACAATGGGTTAGCACTAAAGAAAAACTTCTAAAAAAAATGGAAAAGAAGCAGGAAGATTCCAGGTAATAACATTGATATATATACACTGATGCAGGTATGTAACATATGTGGTCCGTTTAGTGTTTTAGGAACAAAACCAAAAATGCTGTTAATAATTTAATTATAATTTATTTGATGTTGTACAGGCTGTGATGCATTTCATCTTAGTCCTGAGAGCTGACAGTGCACCTGCAGGTATCCGTAGCCTGCTGTACGTGTAACTTGATTGAACTTGTTACCTCATTTGTTTGTTGTATGTAATGCAACTTCGCCGGCATTGATTGAATTTGTATAAATTGAAAGCATAATAAGTAAACGAGATGAGTCAGTGTTCTGTAATCAAGCTATTCATACGCAAATAATTATCGACAATTCAGGGCTTTAATAACTTAATTAAATTATTATTATTTATAAAGTTAAAGTTAAAAGTTACAGCCTCTATACGTCCCACTGCTGGACACTGGCCGCCTCTCATTTCTGAAAGGGTTTTGGGCTAGGAACAGCGTGTTGGCGAACTTCAAATGTCTTCGAAATATATTTTTTCTCATATTTCTCAGACCTGCGTGTTTCCTCACGATGTTTTCCTTGACCGCCGAGCACGTGGTAAATCAGCACTTAAAATAGCAATTAACAATTTCATCGGTGCCGGCTTGGGATTTACAATGAGTGCTATCCAATTATTTAATGACAATATATTTTACAGCATAGACGATGCCAAACGCGCAAAGCTTGTTAGTGAATTCATAGAAAAATGTGAAGCGCCAGAGTCGCGTAAAAGGCATATCCGCGGACGAGGGACGCGCTCCAGAAAAAAGTTTTGGGAGCGTCAAAAACAACTGAGGCAAGTATATTTTTATTCCAATACTAATCTTTTAAGTGGCAAAGACATGAGACAATTTAGGCCATTGAGTTGTACAAACAAAAAGTGTAGTATATAAATCAATGTGTTAGACGTTGACTGTCGCCATTGATAACTTGATTATAATGGCGAAAATAATAAAGTATAATCAAATAAAATATTCTTCGGTTATAAAATAAAAGTAAAAATCCCTTGTAATAAGTATATCAAAATTAATGTAAAGTATTATATAACTCCTTTTATTCTATTTTATTTTAATGTGTTGTTATAAAGTATCAATGGAATTAACTCAATGTCTATTAAAACATAAATATAACTTAAAGTAAATATTTTGAAAATCACAGAGCTGATGATCTTCAAACGGGTGAAAGGATTTTCTTGAATCAAAGCTAAGCACACTCGATCAAGTCTCCTGCCAACAAAACAACTAAATCAAACTCTGTTCGTCCGTTGGTTCCGGTGGCGCTACGAAGCCGCAGACAGCTACACAAAGAGACACAGCATGTTACACTTTGTACACTACACTGTTTTCGTCGGGGGTTGAAAGTTGTAGTGACTTTCTGTAGTATCGAAATAAAGAGCCTTATATTGATTGAACTAAGGATGTTATTTACATGCCATTAAAACATGAATATGGTATTTGAACTGTACACTTGAAAATCATTTTATATTTTTACCTTTCGTTCAGACTTTAACTTACTGTGTTAATACAATTATTGCAACATGGACGTTACGGGTCTAAATACCTTGATTTCGCCATTTTATAAGATGGTTATTCTACTGTTTATTTGATGAATTTACGACGCCCCAAAAAGGATAACATTTTTAACTTATTTTGTCAATTTCAAAATTATTATCAACATGAATGCTCTTAAAGTCATTTCGACTTTAAGAGCTAATAGCTAACATAAGCACTAAGAATATAATAATTAGAGTAATAACAAGATTATTTTGAATTCGTACATAATTTAATAAATTTACACTACAAATTTCAGTGTTCTGTCAAGGGAGCTTTTTGGTGAGTCTTCTGATGGTTCACCTCTACCAGGAAAGAAATTTTCACATGCATATGGTAAAGGACGACGCAATATAAGAAAGGTTAGTTTATTATGCGTTTGTTGTTTGAAAATACAGTAATTGTTATTTTTTTATTTCTTGATGATTTATTTAATATTAAAACGTGATTTTTTATTTATGTATCTCTAGGATATCTTTGCACATAAATAAAATTGAAGTGTATGTCTGCAAAATCAAAATAATTATCTCTTATATCGAGCTCAGCAGATTATTTATTTGCATGTCATTAAAACGTGAATAACCATTTGTAAAATGTTTGTTTCTCTGTCTGTCTGTTCGAGCTGATCTGCGGACAGGCTGAACCGATTGTGTGATGAAAGTTTTGTGTTAACAGTATTGGAGCAGGTAGCAAGTATTGCCAGGAGTAAGTAGAGCCAAGCTGAAGCTATATAACTGGTATAGCTGTAGCACGAATGGTTTGGCTCGGCTGGGGAAGGACCATGCTCTCACAGAATACCAGCGTAAAATAGCTGCTTAACACTACTGTGTTTCATGTGGTGAGTGTAGAGAAACGGACACACTTTTTACTGGAAACGGGACATTCCATCTGAGTCCTCATGGGTGCATCTGCATTTTAATTCGTAATTGAGGATAGATGTAAATGTCTATGTTCCCAACAACCACTTACCATAACTTGGACTGTGTGCTCGTTTATCCTATATAAAAAAGCTATATATATATATATATATATATATATATATATATATATTATCTGGAAAACTGGGACCTTTTTCTTGTGAAATGATGTAACTGGTTATTTTAAAAATCTAAATGACGCCACATCCATAGAACCCATCCATCCGAAGCCTTGGCGGCTTTGGCGGCGGTTAGTACTAAAAATAATTGAATGAGAGCATTGCCGTGCTTCCCAAGATGTGTGCAATTTTTGGTTGGTTAAAGACGTTTCCAAGCCCAAGTTGAAATTCCTACAGTTACCATCACTGTAAACAGCAACACTTCCATTTTAAAAGAAACAAGAAAAAATTACAAGTTTTATTATATGCTTGTCCTTAGTGACTGTATACTGTACTGTCGACAGTAAAACTGAGTAACTTTGTAACCAGTTATTACGTAAACTTTAGCGTTAATTTATCGAAATTTTATTTTATAGAATTGAAGAATAAAAAAAATTGAATTCACCCCTACTTATCCAGTTGCAACCATATTACTAGAACAATTTTTAACAAAACTGTATAAAATTTTATATACTTTTTATCGAAATAAGCGAAAGTATATATTTGATTTGGTTTTCCTACTTTTGAAAATACATTTTATCTCAATTGTAAAAAGTAAAGCAATATTCGGCCGAATACGAATATTTGGTAAACATGCCGAATATGCCAAATACCGAATAAAAAACGAATATTCGGCCCACCTCTAATTATTATAGGCAATACAAATACTTGATCCATGCGGGATTCGAACCCGCGACCCCCAGCGCAGACACTCATTGCTAAGCCACTGCGCCACGGAGTCGTCGAATTGAATTATTGATGATTTTGATTGATGTGATTGATTGATTGATGAAGTAATTATATTGCTTTAAATATTTTTTTAATATGAAACTGTTATTAAATGAATTGCTGCGTTACTTACCATAAATTGAAATATAAAACCACACATTTTTCGCGATGTACCGTAAGATTTTACGATGTTTATAGGAACACAGACAATATTATTTAAGAAACAAAGAAACAAAACATATGTGCTGACCTAGAAGTGTGAATAATATCAATATTTAAATGTTGTTATCACATCTAAATTGAGATTTTTTAAGTTACACGCCTTTTGACACTCGGCTTATATCTGACGTCATCGTCTGTTTTTCTCACTCGATTTGGCACGAACTATACCACAAATATCGCCCGGGTGAATACCTACGCGGACGGCGGCATCGCCTGACATCAAAGGCGTATCCATAACTGTTAGAACTATCTTTAAATTGTGGTATAGTGTACCTACGCAATGGCAATCTTATAGTGAGAAAGTGATCTTTGGGTGTGGGGTAGTATGTAGAGTGGTAGAGTTCAGGCCACACACCCAAGGTCGTTAGCGTGGGTACAAGCCTAAGGTCAAGAAACCATTATGAAATATATATTTAACATACGATATTACCTAAACACAGTATACCTCAATATAGTATATCAACAGTTCAAATACATCTACATATTTAGACTTTTTAAATTTATTTTAAGGTTATAGACAAAAAGTCTTTGGCGAGGAGCACCGTGATAGCGAATATGGAAGAGTTTGAGCGCAAACGTCGACTCAACATGCGCCAAACAAGACTGGTAACATTTCCATATTTTCTTTATATTATCTTTATATATCATATCATCATACTATATATATATATATATATATATATATATATATATATATATATATATATAGAGAGAGAGAGAGAGAGAGGGAGACACACACACACACACACACACGGAAGTGTATTACAGTGGTTTAGCACGAATGGGTTGACCCGACCAGATAAAAACCACGCCTACACAGATTACTTCCAGATGCCAAATTCCACCGTCGCACATCGCGACAAATCTTACGATACCATCCATACCACCCGGTTGCTTAACGCTTCACCACATTGCGATTTATTAGGAGTTTTCTTTCTTGCACAAATTCTTTACGGAGACGTGTAGTACTAATGATTTTTCGGGATGATGTATTTTCAAAAACTGCAATAATATCATTATTTATATATTTGAACTTAAGTTTAAAATTTGCTTATCTTTTGAAAATTTTCTATATAACATTAATTTACTATTTGAAAAAAAAAAGGGTTGTTTTGCCTGGTGGGAGCAAAATAACCCTGTAACACTTTGCCCGTTGCGAGATCTCCACTTTTCCTTCCACGGCGAAATGAATTTAGTAATTAAAGCGATAAATACTGATATATACTCTTAGCCGTTTTTAAAATTACACGTAAATAAGTTGCGTGTGGTGAGTGGCGCGAACCGGACAGCCTTGTTACTTTTAAAGATGCATTTCATTTTTAGTACTCAGGGGTTACCATGTGTATTTTGATAAAAATTCTTAAAAATATTTATTTGTATTTTTATGTGATTTCTAAAAAACCACAATATACCACACTATTAATCAGTTGTACACGTTTCAGAGGGAACTTCTTGGCTGCGAGGAAGGTGTTAATGTTCTAGTCATAAACGATGAAGTTTGTCTCGAATATGACTTTGAGGGACATTGCCCCGTTGTTACCATTCATCCTTTCTTTACAAAGGTCATGAAAGCGCATCAGGTATGTAATAGTATTTAATAGGTTCTTCTAAATTATGTATTAAAGAAAACGTGCATTTTCGTCCCCCTGTAAGATGTCAATTTACTGTTACATCATGCAATTAGACTTTCTTAAGTTTTAAATGTAAAATAATAAACTACATTCGTCTACCTGCTGGGCGATAGCCACTTCTTATGTCTGAGTGGGTTTTAAGGACAGGAAAATGCCACAGCGCTGTTTCAATGCGTGTAATCATCATCATCATCATTACAGCCCTTCACAAGTCCACTGCTGAACCCAATCCCCCAAGTAATGTCACAAAGCACGGTCCTGAGCCATCTGCATCCATCGACTTCCTGCATGCCTTACCAGGTCGTCACTCCATCTAGTGGGGGTTCGCCCTACACTACGCCTACCAGTACGAGGCTGCCACTCGAGAACCTTTCTTCCCCATCGGTTATCGGTTCTTCGAGCTTTTAATGCGTGTAAACGAACATTATATTATGGCCACGATAAATTTCAAAACATGCCGGTTTCACCCTATATTTCTTTAATGTCCATCCAGCGCTAAAATAACGGTAAACAACTCCAACTAAAACTATAAAAATTTTCAGTTGTACGACGACAATTATATGACCCTTTTGATTTAACGTTCGCAGTACGAAGGTGTGAAGTTCATGTGGGACGCTTGCTTCGAGAGCCTGGCGATGATAGAGGCGGGTCACCCCGGAGGTGGGTGCATACTCGCGCACTGCATGGGGCTCGGCAAGACTTTGCAAGTGTTGGCATTGCTCCACACGGTAAGTATATTAACACGACCGCATGGCTTCACAGTGTGACAAAATCTACTTATACACGGTTTAAATAAAAAATGAAGGACTCAGTATAAATAGCATGTCATTTATTTTACATTTTACAGCATGGATATCAATATAAATTTTCCAACCGACTTCAAAAAAGGAGGAAGTCCTCAACTTGACTGTACTTTTTTATGTGTGTTACCCAAAGAGATTTAAGTATATATACTATAGAGCGGACATTCGGAACATTTGCATATAAAAACTGTGAGCTCGCGCGTGTGTTCGCCCTTTAGCAAAACATATCAATACTACGCTGAATATTTATTTGGAAAACATTTTACTACTACTACTAAATATAACGTAAAAATCCGTTTAAGGCACGTCGTCAATCACTAACACATTGGTAAATAAATAGTGACGTTACTGGATAACATAGAGCGCTTATTACAATAATAATAAATGTTCTAAAACAATCTACTGCAAATAATAAAATTTAAACATAATTTGGTAAATACACATTATTCTTACGATAATAAACCGAAATCGTTCAATTTTTGCTCCATATCGTGACTTTACAATACCTTAATGCACAACCGGGCATATTTTCTTTAAAAATATTTTTTTTTAATTTATGAAACGGATGCATCTTGACGTTTTGACGATGTCACTAAGACTAAATGACAATAAATCGGAAATATATCCTAGAGGACAAAAGTTACAGGCAACAATTTTGTTGCTGATGTCCGATCTATTCTTTGAGTATTAAACAAAGAATACTATAATACATATATAATAGAATGGGGGAGTGGGCGGAGCCCGTGTAGCCACTAATATGCCACTGATATATCAATTCACATGTATAAATGTCAACATATCTCTTTTGACGTTACCAATGAAGAAATATTGATGTGTCAAAAACAACAGATATTGGAAGCACTAGAGATGTAACAAAATTTTACCGATACGGATAAGCTGGAGAATATTGTCGCTTTTAAATTTGTACTTGGTTTAGTGAAAAGCTGAATAGAGACGATAAAATACAATGAAAAATATTAATTTAATGACCTATGAATTAACTCAATTTTAAAAAAATTTATTAAATTGTAAATTTATTCCCTCTATAGGATAAAATTAAAATTTGCAATAAAGTTTTTAGATTCGATCTTCTGGTTACGTATCATTACTATATATTAACCTCATGCCTCATTACCCACATAGAGTTTAAAAAAGTATATGTGTTCATACTTTTTTATCCGATTTCGCGTTTGCCTTGTGTTGGCTCACCTATACTATACCATTTACTGCTATTGGTACTTTTTTTGATATTTTTAATTTCCATAAACTATTTTTGCAGTTTTCCTGGAGATCTGGACTTAAATAATACATAGTAGACATACACACTCGATCGACTAATGATTGCGGATTGTTTGAATTGTTACGGCCTAGTAAGCTTTTAATAAATGTTTCTATTCCATAACTATGAATAAATTTTATTATTCCGTAAATACGCTATTATTTATTAAAGAAAGAATACGTTTTCTTCCACATGGAATTAAGCATATCACATTATCTCTTTGACGATAAAAGGTTATCCAGTCTTTTTATTCTTATCAGCTATCTGAATACCAAATCTCGTCAGAATAGCTTAGCATTTTCTATACAAGGTTTACATATTCACCTTTTTTTATTAGTTACCCATTTCTTGAAGTAAAATTTTGGATTATTCAGTCGCAAAATTTACAAAGCATCATGTATTTGAAACATACAAAACATTGTTTTCATTGTAATTGTACTAAATGAATTGTATAAAATGTACAAAATTAATAAAAAAAATATTATTGAAATATTTCAAAATCAATACACTCACTCGTTTTACCGGTGGTTACTGGTTACCGGTAACTCGCTAAACAAGACTACATCCCTAGCGGTGATATCATTATATACTACAATTTGCTTAAATGCACATACTAACATGATGCTACGCATCTTAATTGTTCAATAACTTTTTATTTACAATAAGAAAAAAAAATGATACTGCGATTGTATTTACGAATAGTTTGCACACTATTTACAAATAAATATGTATTAAAATTTAAACGATTTATATTTTTAATGATGATCTTGAACACTATTTACAAATAAATATGTATTAAAATTTAAACGATTTATATTTTTAATGATGATCTTGAACATTAATCAAAAGTCTAAATTCGCTCAGTCTGTCAACACAGCGAATCGGGTTTGTAGTAGTAATAATACGATGTAATTGCTTGCATGTGTGCTCCCGGCGACGCCGATCCTCGTACTAAATAAGGTTGACAGCCATTCTATTGTGTACTATAGTATTCTATGGTATTAAACCAAAGGAGATGGCATAGCATACCCCGCTGTAAAAGGTACGAGAGTCTGACTCATAGCCGTTATGTAAAACTAGTTGCTCCACGTCTTGTGCAATTACGCAAGTGATCGTGCTAGTCAATTGAGCTCCGACAAAAATGTCGAGTTGCAGTGTATTTTCATGCAAAAACCAATCAAAACTGTCATCTACAAAAGGAAATCGTGGCTTTTCATCTGTGAATAATTTTAACATAATAGTTAAAATAAATAGTTAAAACTCGTATTTTCTGAATATTTTCGTAAAATACCAAGTGTTGTCAGCATAGTTCATGAAGTGAAAAATAAGCGATTTTATATTAAATGTAATTTACTACACAAAATAAAAATAATAACGAAAATTTATTTCATACCAACTAAATCAGTTTGTGATGAATAATAATCGCAATTTTAAGATGTGTAGTGGATTTTGTCAAATGATTTAAATATTCAGCTGAATCCCAACACGATTCTGAATATATTATAATTTAATATAATCGATAACTAGTCTGTGGCCGTGAAATGAAAAGGGGAGATCTCCCGCCGGGCAAGGTGTTCTGCCCGGGGAGCGGCCGACACTCCGTGTGATAGTTCGGAGATGTTCTATATATGCTGTTTATGATTCGGAATGTTGATAGCGTGATTTAGGCTTCAGTGTGTTTCGCTTGCGGCGCGACGACAGCGCCGCCACATCACCTCCCTGCTCAGACCGGAGGTCGACAGTACAGTCCGATTGCCGGTGCGTCCTTAAATGCCGGTGGGGAATGCATGCTGTGTGCGTAAGGGCAAGTGACACCGGTGCGAATGATATGCCGATGTGTAATGCAGCCGTACTACGCACTGGCAAGTGATGCCGTTGAGAACGATGTGCCGGAGCAAGTGCCAGAAGTCTGCCTTATAAATCTGCGGTGAGTCGAGATGAAGACAAGTTGGACTGGCTTGCAGGAACTGAAGACTGCAGAAGAAGATTCTCAGTAGTGAATGGTAGGGGTTCTTGAGGATAATGACGAAAGCTTGAAATTGTGGTTTCCGAAGGTTGTTGGTTGCGTGTTCAGATCACGTCGGGGTCACCACTGTGGCCGTGAAAGGAAAAGGGGAGATCCCCCGCCGAGCAAGGGGTTATGCCCGGGGAGCGGCCGACACTCCGTGTGATAGTTCGGAGATGTTCTATATATGCTGTTTATGATTCGGAATGTTAATAGCGTGATTTAAGCTTCGGTGTGTTTCGCTTGCGGCGCGACGACAGCGCCGCCACAAGTCTTTATCAAGATATTATACAAAATAAAGGCCGAATAAGCCGAATCGGAACTTGCTACTTCGTAGCAAATGTACGCAATTTTTGTTAATTTAAACTGGTATCACTGCAACCGAAAGTACTGCAATGTAGTGATGTACGCCACAACTTTAGCTATCGATAAGTTAATTAACCCATTCGGGTTTGTCTGCCGAACAGGTTTTTATTTTTTGTTTAGATTTTATAATAAAGTATTACAAAAAGTAGTAAATTTTTCTATTATTGGTTTAATAATAATAATTAATGAATATAGTTTATTCAGTAAATTATTATAACCGGGAATGAGGTCTCTTTTTAAGTATAAAATTGTGTTAGGAGACTCCACTCTTCCATAGCACTTACATTACTATTTGCATGATCTTTACATAATAATTAACTATAAAATTAAAATAAAAAAATAATAATATTCACGCCAAAGGTGTATGAGTTGAATATGCGTATGCGTGTGTGTGAATAAGTGAGCGAGTGTTATAAATAACTTACATTATTTCATATTGTTTAAAAGAGCCTCAGTAACATCGTAGCTCTTATGGAATAGTCATTCGGTTAGAACGTATTCGCAATTACGGTACTTAATTTTTTATGCTTTTATTAATGGCTGTCGGGTGTCGCTGTTTTACATATTGCCTCCTAGCTAAAACAGTTTTAACAGCGACAGCTGTAGCCGTTTTTTTTCTTTTGGCTACTATACAACGGTTAAACTTGTAAGTACAAACTATGCAGTCTTAGGTTACTGTAAGTACATTACTAATGGCATAAAGATCTTCTGCGGTTAATCTTTTTGGTTTAAAATGCATATTTTTAGTAAATTTCTCAGTGCCTTTACAATTTCTAGAATTGGGTTTTTGTAGCTCCACCCCATACAGGAACATAATATACTAAGATAGATTGAGCCAAAGCAATATATATTTGGTATAGTAACTTTTTCGTCCGAGTGTTTTACATGTCCATGTAAGTTCCATAAGTCTATTCATGATTAATTCAATGTGTCTATGCCATGACAAATGTTGTTCAACTATGACTCCTAAATACTTGGTCTCAGAGACCTTACTACGTAATGAGTAGCTGCAACTAGTACTTAAGGGATCATAGCATGTTTGAAGTTTAATTTGGAAATTACTATCAGACTGAGTTCGAATATAATTTGTAAAACATATAACTAGTTTTCAAAGTATTTAAAGTAAGTAGGTTATTGTTCAGCCACTTCACACACTTCACACGAACAGAATCCCAGGAGTCATCAGTAAATATTACTGCAGTATCATCTGCATAGGAGATTTTGATAAATCATATTTCATACTACAAGTTATCAATAAAAGAAGGTTATTTGATACTGCTGTTGAACTTGGGAATGTCTAGCTGTAATTATATCAATAGATTAACTAGTTTTATTATTACTCTTGACACAAATATTACTCTTCTTCAAAATATTTTAGAATTCCAACAAGTTTACAATAATGGCTTCTTATATTTACACGAGCATTACACATTAAATGAAACTAATTTTACGGATTTTATCGCGTTAAATTTTGTGGCATTATGGCTGTGTCTACTACGGGTTTGATATTATATCCGATAGTTTCGGTGAAGCTACTGACGCATTAGTGTTTTTATTGCTCGGTATAAACACAACGTGGAAAGTACCCGTAGCCAACTTTTTGATTAAATTTGAATAAAAATTTGAGTTTGATGAGGCTTTAAAAAAACTGGCCATAATTATTTTTACTAATGAAATCATAATTTTTTATAACACTAAAAACCCTTACTGCTGGCCGTATGAGAAAGCTCAAAGTCACTCAGCGAGCTACGGAGACGGCTATGCTCGGGGTTTTTCTGCATGATAAACATAGAAATAAGGATATTTACAGTAGAACCAGAGAGCCCAACATAGCCCAACTGGTCAGTAAGCTGAAGTGGCAATGGGCCGGCCATATAGTTCGAAGAATCGACAACCGATGGGGGAAAAAGGTTCTCGAGTGTCAGCCTCGTACTGGTGGGTGAAGTGCAGGGCTACCCCCAATAGGTGTAGTGACGACCTGGTAAGACATGCAGGAAGTTGATGGATGCAGGTGGATCAGAACCGTGTTTTGTGGTACCCCTTGGGGGAGGCCTATGTTCAGCAGCATACTTGTGAAGGGCTGTAGGTAATGAATGAAAAAATACTAAAAATCACTTTTACCAACGCTGAACTTATGCGGACTATTATGATTTGTTTATCGATAAATAATATCGACGTAGTCCTCGCCTTACGTTGCTTACGCGTGTAGACAGCGGCACCAGTGTATTTACACGTGTACAATTTATGTATGCGTAAATGCAATGAACACAAACACAAATGCAGTAGTGTGCGAGTATAGTGACGCGATTCAATGTTGCTTTTGTAGTGAAGTTTACAGTAGTGTATTTTTCTTGCGCCTCCCTGACATTGACAGACTTTTTTGTTTAGAAATTAACGCGCATGGCCTCTCCAGTTGCTTTAATACTCAAAGGGTCTATTATTACTACTTAAATGTCTTTGGTGTTGTTGTTTGGTGGTGTCAGCGGTGCTGGGACTAGTGGTGACGGAGTTAGTGCATGCAATTGAGGGAGGGCGTGAGGTGCTCTTCAATCCAGGTAAGACACATCATTGTATTTGGTTAGCGGAAGGTTGCAAAGTAATAATTTTTTTATTATAATGGATTTCCGCAAAGTAACGCCTGATTCTATCAATAATCTAATTTAATATAATCTATGTATTACTTGTGAGCTACATCGTGTTTACATGCGATGGCTAAAACAATCTATTTATTTAAAACATATAAGATTTTTAATAATGATATGTTCACTATAAGATGTTAGGTTAGCGGATTACGTAATAACATATGACAGAAGGACCCTTAAGTAGGGACTCAATAAATTAACTGGCTTGGTATTACATCGATCTTGCAACTTTTTACGTTAGAATAACTAAGTTGCGAAGCTTTGTTTTTTTACAAGTTGTTTTTGGTGGCATTACTTTAACTTCAACAGGATAGGGTCTGTGCACTTTTGGCTCCAACATGGACCAACATATACAGAGGGACACAATGAATAACAATTTGTTTAATACATTGCTTCATTAAATAATTTAATATATTCTTACTTCAACAAAACAATTTACGAAAACTTAATTCATCCGTTTTTATATCGCATTAGGTATTGACACACCCGCGTGTCGGCATGCAACGAGTGTTGGTATGCTGCCCGCTGTCCACTGTCCTTAACTGGGTCGATGAGATTCACAAGTGGATCGGACCTGTCACAAACAAGCTCAAGGTAAGGTACAAAGCAGTAAGCTATTTCTATTTATGTTGAAAGTTACACTATAAATAGATATTTAACGTACTTATCTTTTACTGTTACAGCCTTTCAAAAGTCCACTGTTGAACATAGGGCTTCCTATAGATTGCCTCACTGTTGGCAACCGCAGTTTTTTTTAAGTGTTCTGAGGAAGACGCTGCTGCCCTTCTCTTAGTTTATGTCCCTTGTTATTATTGTCTCTTACGACATCCACGAGGCGATATGGGGTAGTGGACATTCTGACACCGCCTCTAACTTATTATTTTGCAACCTGCTCATACTTTTTTTTAATTAAATTTATATATTCTAGATACACAATTACGACAACATTCACTTTTTTGACTGTATCTCTCTCGTGTCTGTTGTACGTATATGTCCAAAAATGAAAACTTTCGGTTAATTTTCTTAGTGAGTTCAGACGTGAGACAAAGGTATTAATGAATGCTGTAGTCCGTTTTGATTAAGTCGCATTTGTATTTGTATGTCGCGGTTTGATTAGCTCGATGCGTGAAATGAGCTGTCAGGAAGGCTGCAATTGATAATAGATGGCGATCAGTAAAAAACTATGAAACTGAATACCGATATGGAGAAGAAGGATGGTGTATTAGTGAAAGAAAAGCGGAATATCACGATTGACAAAGTGTAGTTGTCATAATGTAACGAAACTAAGTAAAAATTACACACACATTAGAGCAGTGCGGCGGACATTTCCTTGCCGAAAAACTATCTCGAAGATGAGAGGAGGCCTGTGCCCAGCTGTTGGACGTATATATGTAGGTTAAGTTTAAGTTGGGAAAAAGTCGACGACCAACAGGCAGACTCTGATGTGATGCCGGAAATTGTCTTACACTTTACACTATTTAAATAATAATAATAATAATAAATATTTATTTCATTTCCAATTACACATGTTTACATACAGGAATAAATATGATTACAATTAATTTAAGTAACAATAAGTCTAACAAAAATAACATACTATGATAAAATTAAAACTATGTGTAGCTTAATAATGTAGAATATACAAAAGAAAAATAAAAAAGTCAAGTTTATAATATTAGCTACCTGCCTGAACTAGGTTGAGTACCTGTATATTTTAATTAAAATTAAATCAAATTTTTCTTTTAAGTCACGCAATTTGAAGAGGAGAATGCAGGTAATTTTCCCAGCCTAGCCATTGATACTAGACACCCGATATGACATTTTTAAATCTATTGCATTGTATGTGTAGTGCAGTGTGCTTAAAATAATTAGATGTTTATTTAATTGATTTGATATAAAATAGAAATTTTCAATTAATTGAATAAATAAAACCATATTAATTGTGTGTGTTTTTTTAAGTCGTTCTTAATTTTGATCGTTAATTGAGAAAGAACATAGATGTCTATCAGCCACAATTACTTACCTTTAGGTGGACTGTGTGCTCTTTTGTCACCCTTATTTTATAAAAAATCTATCGGGGCTGTATGGTGAAGGCGTTAAAAGTTCCATTATATCTTTTTTTTCCGTGGGTGGAATATCTTGTGATTGGTGATAGATGTACATACATTTTGTATTTAGACTAGACGTATAGATAAATACACAAATAATGTCCTAGTCTATCGTGAAGTTGATTGAAAAATAAGGGGATTTCATGGCCTGATATGTGGTGGTGCAAAATATATTCGACGACAGGAAGCGCCATCAAAGTTGCATGATGTCTAATGGTGGCTTCTTACTGCGTGTGTTATCATGCGCCGTGCCGTGCCCGCACCCGCCACGCGCTGTGTGAAGGGTTTGGCGCGGCGCGGCGCGTGTTTACAAGTTGATCCACCAGCGCCTTAATTTTATTAAGTAAATGATATCCACAAAATAAGACAAAAGCGGCTGAAGCAACTGCTATGCCTTCTTCAGTGGCATTGCTCCATGGCTGGAGGTGTTTTTAATTCGGCTCACACGACATTTTAGGTGCGCTGCGCTAAACAGACTTGAGTCGGTAGGCTCGGAGTATGGCCGAGCACGCGTCGCGCCGCGCTGCGCCAGTGAAAACGGGTGGCGTGAGCTCGCACGTGGCGCGTGCTTGCGCGTACAAATCAACTTGGGAGGCGCGGCTCGTGATAATAAACGCAGTGAAAAGATAGCTTAATACTGTAATCACCAATCCAAGCGTGACGATTACAGCAAATCTGCCCTGCTGTTTAGCGCAGCGCACCTGAAATGTGTGAGTCGAATTGCCACCTCCAGCCACGGAGCAATGCTACTGAATAAGAAGGCATGGCTGTTGCTTCAACTGAATAAAATTAAGAGAAAGAACAAGAAAACGCGCTGGTAGATGACATCGTTAAAATTAAAAAGTCAGCAATCGTCTCATAAGAACATAAGACCACTCCGTGTCTATATAGACATGAGAGTACCTCAACGTTGGACGAGTTAAGACAAAATGAACGAGTTCAATCTTGTAAGCACACGCCGCGCCCGCGCACCGCCGCGCGAGCTCTCGCCGCGCCGTGCCTTTGAAGTTATCGATTTTAAACGGATAGCACACGCCGCGCCACGCCTGCCCGCGCCGCGCCGCGCTAATCCGCGCCGCGCCGCGCCAAGCCCTTCACACTGCGCGTGGCACGTGCGGGCGTGGCGCGTGCGGGCGTGGCGCGGCGTGTAATAACACACGCAATGAGAAGGCACCATATTATGTTGAGTGTGAGTGTGTATATGTATGTGCGAAGTCTTAACATTATCGATTCGATTTAGTATTTAATGTTATTAAAATGAATAATTGAATACCTAGTACATTTATTTACGTAATCTTGTTTTGCATAGTATTATATATTTTGCTGGTGTTAAACAATTATGTATAGCAGCTTAAAATTTTTTATAAGTTTAAATAATAGGACCTATGAAATTGCTGTTTTGCCAAATAATTTTTGTTTGGCTAAGAATTCCAATTTGAAATTTAGTTTATTTTGAAAACATGGAATCCTTTTTTTTTAAACAAACAAACAAATGGGTGCCCCACGAACTCCATCATCGCCGCGCAAAGTACGCGTCGAGACGTACCTTGCACTGCTCAACAGGAACACAAACGATGAAATTTTGATCCGCATTGTTACCTGCGAAGAAAAATGGATTCTGTTTGACAATCGCAAGCGTTCAGCAAGTTGATTGGATCCTGCTTCAGCACCTAAACCATGCCCTAAATGAAAAGTTACCCCTGGAAAATTGATGGTCAGTGTTTAGTGGACTAACGCCGGTGTAATTTATCACAGCTTCTTATGAAACGGGTTGAGAACTACTGCAGATGTGTTCTGTGAAGAACTAAGCACAATGATGGAGAAGCACGCACGTCTCCAACCAGCTTTGGTCAGTCGCTCGTTCCCGTTGCTCTTGCACGACAACTGACCTCATACTGCACAATGACGGTCCCCAAATTACAAGAACCAGGGTTGGAAGCTCTCTGCCATCCACCGTACTCACTAGACCTTGCGCCTAGAGACTTGTAGTTTTTCCAGAATTCTGATAACTTTCCCGGGTAGTACAAAATGCCTTGGAGAAATTTGTTGCCTCTCGTCCAGCTGATTTCTTCATGGAGGGCATGATTAATCTGCTACTGCATTGACAAAGATGTATCGATTGCATGGGTGATTATACTTTGATTCACAGAAATAAAAATATTGAAAAAAAAAACTACGTTAACTTGTTTCATTAAAAAACGGCAATTTCATAGGTTAGACACGACGAAAGACCTAATATTTCTGAACTATCTTTTGAATAACGTTGCTACACAAATGTAATGAACCTTTTATTATGATAGGTATTTGAGTTGTCGAAGCTAAAGAAGACTTACGAAAGAGCATATCAACTCGAAGACTGGTACAATGGAGGCGGTATCTTCATTATCGGTTACGAGTTATTCCGCAACTTGTCAACTTTGGATCCTGTATTGGACGGAATTCGCCCAACAATAGTCAACAAAATACGGATGGCACTGTTGGACCCGGGCCCGGACATCATAGTTTGTGACGAAGGCCATCTCCTAAAGAACGACAGTTCGGTGCTCGCGGTCGCTATGAGCAGAGTTGCGACCAAACGACGCATAGTCCTCACCGGGACCCCAATGCAAAATAATCTCCGAGAATATTATTGTATGGTGAATTTTGTGAAACCCAATCTGCTCGGAAGCTATTCGGAATATTCCAACAGGTAATGAAAATTTTTCTTATTTTATATTTTTTTGGTCTTTATTCAATACCTTGTCAAAACAAGATATTGCTTTGTATATCAATATATCTTTTTAATTTTGATTCTTACTTGAGGACAGATCTATCCATCGTTTACAAAAATACTTATTATGTAACATCATTACCAAATACACGAACACGCGCACGCATACATGCACACACACCCATACCCGTACAATTCCGCGCCTGATGGTCAAGACAATTTATTAACATACTGAGATATCAAACTCCCCATTCATAGTATTATAAACGTAGCTTGTACTTTTCCTTTCTTAAATCTAAATTGTGAGAGTTAATACAAATATGTTATTATATCATTTTAGCCATTACCAAACGTACTAAAACGTTTTTAACCAAACACCCAACACATATTGCGTTTACGCTCCGTAAATATTTTCCAGGATAATATTATAACTAATGCGGTGAAATTCGGTGCGATAGTTTTTAGGTTTCCCAACCGTCCGTCCATACGCCTTTCTGTCGTGACCACTTTCTCAGGAATGGTTATACTTATAGGTTGGAAATTATTATCAAATAATATGGTCTAACGGTCGCTTGGAGGTGTAAAAATTCGGTCGTTCGTGTCACATATTTTAATTCTCGCAAACTTGCTTATTAAAATCTATAGGGCACTTCGCAAGCATGATCTAGCAGCATATGTGAAGGAAAAAATTCGAAAGTAGTTAACTTGTAATTAAATCAAATAATAATATTTTTGCGACAACGACGTTCGTTGTTGAAGTTGACATTTGCAGTTGAAGCATTGACCATGATGTAGGTAATGTATGTGAAAATTTTTTGTCCACTGCAAAGTTAAGTTTGTAACTAACTCCTAACTTAATAAACATTACAATGCATTAAACATCCGCCGCTGATCACAGGCTCGCTGAGTTGCCACGCTTGGCCGACCGGCTGACGACCGCAGTTTTATTATTTTGAGTTGCCATCAGGAAGATGCTGCAGTTCATCTTTTGTTTCACTTCCCTCTGTGGTATGTTATGGGATAATATGGGGTAGCTCTTACGTCGCACTGGTAATTAGGAATCTACGCAACTCTCAGCGCGTGAGTTCTACCCACACTTGTCCGGTCTTCTTCTTAATGAACGTACGCAAACTTATTTAGAGGTATATTATGTCCTAAACACGGCCTGATCACTTTTATATTATCATATAGTTCTATTGGTAGTGGCGATTGCTGGAAATCTTCAACAGTAGAGACTTGTCCAGGAAACTGTTTTAGGTTTGTTGAGGAGGAGTGGATGGATATCTCTATAGAATCATACAGTTTATGCGCTTCTTTATGACTTATCCTTATTAGAAGTCTGTAAATGTTACTATGTGGTTTGATTATTTTTGCCTTTTCCTAGGAGGCTGTCTTGGTAGGTACAGGTGTTTGCACCGTTGTCTGCTGTGTTCTGGTCCGAAAGAGATATATAGAGCAGTATAATCAGGCTGTGAGGCATTCCATCTTAGTCCTCAGAGGTGACAACTTTATCAGTGGCTTTATTTGTTTGAAGCTGTCTGCTGTGTTCAAGGACTGCAATAGCCTCTTTGCATCACCATTAGTTATAAAATATGCCACGTCAGATACCAATTATCTTTATCACTCAAGTATAGTTTTAATGTTCTATAGATTCGAGAACCCAATTATGAACGGCCAACACCGCGATTCAATAGAGGAAGATATTAAATTAATGAAAGCGAGGACGCACATCTTACACAAGGTGTTAGAAGGTTGCCTTCAGCGTCAAGAGGCGTCGGTACTATATCCGTACCTCCCCAAGAAACACGAATACACTGTCTTCATACCTTTGACGAAATGTCAAAGCGATCTATATAAGCATTATTTAACGCATTACACAAAGTTGGGAAAGCAGAGTATATTAAGAGATTTCCACATACTGCAGAAGATATGGACTCACCCGCAAGTGCTGCATAATTTCCAAATGAAATCGCGGGAAGTTAACATTAAAGGTAAGAATATTGTTTTTGCTCATATTTAACACATTTAAAAATTAGCGAAGCTATAATTATTAGCTTTTTTTTATTAAACCTTACATTAAATAAAAATAAATAAAAGAGAATAAATAAAAGAGTGAAGTGAAAATAAATGGTAAGAATTCTTTTTCTTTTTATCAAAAGTATTTAGATGATTGTTAAAAAATTTATTGGCTGATTTAAAACCACTATCTATGAATAAGTCAATAAATGTATCATGCAAGTATGTGTCTAAGTGTTGTTAAGCGACAGTAGCCTAATGGCTTTTTTGGCTTAGATTTGTAAGCTGGAAATCACCGCTATAACTAAGAGTACCCTAATGTTTAAAAGCACAAGGTTCGGCCGCACATGGAATACTGTTCCCATCTCTGGGCTGGGGCTCCCCAGTACCAGCTCCTTCCTTCCACTTGACCGCATCCAGCGCAGAGCGGCTCGAATCGTCGACGACCGAGTGCTTTCCGATCGGCTCGATTCACTGGCACTGCGAAGAGATGTTGCATCTCTTTGCATTTTCTTTCGCATATACCATGGAGAGTGCTCTGAGAAATTGTTCGGATTAATCCCAGCCGCCAAATTTCGTGAACACACTACGCGGCAAACGTACCGATACCATCCACACCATCTGGATGAGTGGCGGTCCACCACTGTACGTTTCAAAAGGAGTTTTCTTCCGCGTACAACCTCTCTATGGAATAGTTTACCACCGGCGATTTTTCCGGACCGATACGACCTGGGGACCTTCAAGAAAAGAGCTTACTCCTTTCTAAAGGGCCGGCAACGCACCTGCAATTCCTCTGGTGTTGCGGTTGATCATGGGCGGCGGTAGTCACTTAACATCAGGTGAGCCGCATGCTCGTTTGCCCCCTCTTCTATATAAAAAAATGCACCAAAATCATATTGTTATATATCACGCAAATTATAGCAAATAAAAAAATCCCAAGTGACACCACACAATCGGTTGATAATTATTTAATTATTTGATTTTTGTCCCTTAAAACCTATTGAGAACAGAACTAAAATTACCGAAAATAAGTGTGTTTTTTCTATCAAGTAAATATCCTATTGTGTATAAGAAAACTACTGGTCTTATGATGATGAGATATCTTTGTTTTTCAGTTCTGAACATGATTTCTAATCTCCGAACCTCTTGAACTTGAATCCGCGGTTTGACTTCTTTTGTGAACCACTCCTTTACATAAACGAGATGGTTCTACCGACATTTATCTGAAGCTATAAGATCGTTCTGACATATCCCAAGTCTCTTATGAGTCACTTAATCCACCGTAATATAGCACTTGATCTGGTCCTGATCTTTGTATAATAAAGTCAGAGACAGACTCATCACATGTACATACACAATGTATGCAACGCATTACGACATCTGAGCTCTTGATTCTATATGAAAAAACTATACATTACAAACGCTTATCGTATGCAATGCAACGCAATCACTCGCGTCCGACGCAATATTGATCTGTGATCTCCAGATCGGCGTCGGAAGTCTAGTGTGTTCCTAGAACCGTCATAAACGAATTAACCGCACCGCTTTGCATCGTGCACGCATTTCGTGGTCAAAATGAGAGATTTAGTGAAGCGATACAAATGTACATACTATAATAGAAAGAAAAGAAAACTTCTGTGGCAGCTAAGATTAAATCCTAACAGTAAAAGAACAAAATTTTATTTTCAAATTATTCGCAGTTATATAAAAAAATTATTAGATTGACACAAAAGGCACAAAATAACCAAAAAATAAAAGCATCTAAAAATAAGTCTAAAACAACTTGGCAAATTATTAAACGAACAAAATACAACTTACCTACACGCAGTATTAATAAAATTAAGGTAAATGATCAAACATTATCAAATCCTCAGTGCATCGCTGAAGCATTTAACAACTATTTTATCGATATTATTCAGGCAAACATAGATGTTACTAACAAACATAAATCTTATAAAATAAACACCAACAGTAAATCTCTGTTCATGCCGCCTAGTGTTCCATTAGATATTCACAAAATAATAATGTCGTTAAATAAAACAAGTAGCGTGGGATACGATGGCATTGCTACAAAAATATTAAAACACATATCAATGGAAATATGCGGACATCTAAGTCATCTAATCAACCTAAGTATTAGCGCAGGTATTTACCCAGATGCTATAAAACCGCTGTTTAAGAAGGAAAATTGAGAACTAATGGAATATTATCGGCCCATTTCACTTATTCCCGTAGTTTCAAAAATATTTGATATATATATATATATATATATATATATATATATATATATATATATATATATAAATATAAGGAAATATATAAATTTATTGAAAAATATAACATTTTATGTGAGGAACAAAAAAGGATTTAGACCACATAGGACAATCAATATGGCCATATATGACTTTATATACAATATTATTAACAATATCGATAAACGGAGACATGTCTGTGGCATATTTTGCGACATGACAAAGGCATTTGATTATGTAAATTACGCTACTCTTTTAGAAAAACTTGAAGCCTATGGCATTAGAGGCAATGTTCTTAATATAATTGAATCTTACTTAAAGAATAGAATACAAATAACTGAAATTAATCAAATTAATATAACAAATAAGAAGGAAGAGATATTTCGATCGTCAAAGCGCGAAGTTAAATTTGGAGTACCACAGGGGAGTGTGCTGGGTCCTTTTATATTTATATTGTACATCAATGACTTACCTAAATTCATTGAGCAACCAGTAACACTGTTTGCGGATGATACCACAGTGACAATACCATGTAAAAGTATAGAGACCTGTGAAAATGACATTAATAACTCCTTAAAATTAGTTGTAAACTGGTTAGACGAAAACAATTTAAAAATAAACTTAAATAAAACAAAAATTATCCATTTCAGTCAATGGATTCCTAGCATGAGCCTAAATGTACACTACAATAATGATGTTGTAAAAGAAGTTGAAACTGCAAAGTTCCTGGGTCTCGATATAGATAAACATCTTAACTGGAAAGCACACATTAATACTTTATGTAAAAAAAAATAGTAAAACCGCATATGCTTTACATAATTTGTCTTCAATAGTATACACGGACGGCTTAGCAGAATCCCACCTCCGTTATGGAATAATATTTTGGGGTAACTCAACCGAAAAAGAATCAGCGTTTAAGGCTCAAAAAGGATGCATAAGGGCGATGTTTAAGCTTAAAACTACCGATAGTTGCATGCCATATTTTAAACAGTATAAAATACTGACATTACCTTGTTTATACACACTATTTATTTCATTATGAAGTAGCAGTGTTTGTTAAATTGCATCCGAAACGTTTTAAACGCCTTGACCAAGTAATTCCACGTAATAGACGCGACAATACCCTTTTATGTCATCAATCCGCTAAGAAAGTACTAATGCGCAAAAGTATATACTGTATGGCTCCAGTCATATATGATAAAATACCAAAAAGTTGGAAAGAATTGCCGCTATCGATATTTAAAAAAAAGGCTTCGTAGCTTCTTGACAGTCAAAGCATACTATAGCGTAACAGAATTCTTGACTGAAAAAAAAATTTCATTTTGAGGTTAAGACTGTATAATGTTAAAAATTTGAATTATGTATGTTTATGTGTTATTATTTTATTTTGTTATTATTTTATTTTGTTATAGCTGTTTAGGTATTTGTTTATATTTCTGTATATTTTGCATGCCTACTGGTAAAATATGGCTGAACTCACTATCTATATTTCCATGTACTGTACCCATATTTGCAAAATAAAATATTTTTATCTTTAATATTAAATATGTATGTCGAATATCGCGAGACTATATAACATAACACAGTATGAGAAGAGATAGCAAAACCACATCGTAAACCTAACGAGTACCTATTTTATTTTTGTTTTAAAGGTGAAAGGGAGAGGTCAAGGCACGAAATAAAAAAGTAGTTTTTTTGGTGTTTTAATTTTTATCCTAGTGTTAAAATATGAAACATGATATTATATAATGCGGAAATGAAACATTGTGTGCTACATATTCATGTATTTGTTTGCATTATGAATCATAAATCTTAACAGAATTACAGCCTAAACGTTTTCTTTAGGCGTGGATATATTCGATTATGAATATCAGACTAAGTAAATCATTCTCAAACTTACTCTAAGAATCAGAAGACATGGTATAAATTAGTGTCACTTCTTAAGGGACTCACGTACGCTAAGAAGTGATAAGAGTGTCTACATACATAGGTAAATTGTGTACTCGTACACCAACGGAGCGTTGCATCACATACGTTGCGTACGTGGGATCAGTCTGATTCTTCCCTAATACGTGACAACAAAAATTTTGTCACTGATTTATAAAAATAGGACAGATTTTAATTATAATTACAGTGGAGAAGATAGAAGATGACCTGGCAAATGAAGACCTGACGGCCACAGAGGATATAAAGCCAGCGCAAACAGAGGTGTGGTGGCTGCAGTACTTAGAAGGGGGCAATATGCTCGACTCGTTGGAGAGCTCCAACAAATTGCTTGCTGTCTTCCGCATACTCGACGAGTGCCTTGCTCTAGGAGATAAAGTGTGAGCGATTTTTCATCAAAAATTTTTACCTATCTTGTTCTTTCTCATAAAGTATTTTTAATTCTTTAAATTTCGATCAATTAAATGAAACTAATTTTACGGATTTTATCGCGTTTGATTTTGAATTTATAAATTTCCGACGGTTTAAAATTCAAAATTAAACGCGAGAAATCAAAATTAGTGCATTGGTTTAATCTTAATAATTTACATTTAAACGGTAATAAAAATGGGTGTATTAAATTCATAACACCAAATGTTAAAAAATCTGAATACCTATGTGTTTTAAATGGGAAAGAACTGAGCCCTGTTGAATTCACCGTTTTCTTTGTCATCACTTCGAAATTAGCAGTATGCTGTAAAAAAGATAGAGGTCTCATTAGTGTCGAGACAGTAGTACTGTTTATTTCAGTTATTTCCATAGCATTTCTTATGGAATTTTGCTATTGGGAATGCAGTTGATTTAGAAACTATTTTTGTATTTCAGAAGAGAACTATAAGAGCTATTTACAACCTGAAACCGAGAGAATCTATCACAGAAAAATTTAGGGAAATAAATGTATTAACTTTGACCTCAGTATATTTACAACAAATTTATTTATGTTTACAAAAACAAAAATAGTGTGGTAGTTGTAGAGTCGTATATTATGGTTATAGCACGGATGGGTCGGCTCCTGGATCCTCTTTTACTGGAAATAAGGCATTCCAACTTGACCACAGGGGTGACAACGCATCTGCGTTTTGATTCCTAATCAAGGATAAATGTAGATATCTATGGGCCACAACCATCAGGTGGACTGTGTGGTCGCTTGTCACCCTTATTCTATACAAAAATATAAGAAGTTTTAGAAAAAAAATGATATACACTGTAAACACTAGGAACGGACACAATCTAGTGATACCAGTTTTTCATCTCCACAGAGTCAGTAACTCATTCTTGGAGCAATGTATACGCAAGTATATTACCAAGTTTAAATATTTAATTAAACAAAAACTGTATCGAAAGTGTTATTATAATTATAAATGAATAGATGGTTGATAATAACACCCGGGAATGAGGTGGTCGCTTCCAAGCTGTTTCTTAAGGTGGAAGCGCCGGCCGTCCATCCATAAATTTTTTAATCAAATTATACACTAAACACAGACACTCTTTCTTTAAAACTAATCATTCTATCACTTCTCTACAATGAAGTGTGTACGCGTTTGACCTTTATAGGCAATAACTTACATTATATATTGAGAAAAACAATCGTGAAATCCCGGAAAAATTTGACACTTCTTTAGTAGTGTGCGTGACTTTTGACAAGCAAACGAAAGGCGACGTTTAAACATTGGCACGCTAGATGGCATGCAAGTGATCTTAAATTATTCTGATAAATCAATATCTTAAGTTCAATAATTGGTTAATTTCCTTTCCAACCGTTAAAAAAATAGTATAAAATAACATAAAACTAATTACCTTAGACACCTATGTTTTTTTTGTAAACAATTATATTACTTACGGTCAATTCACACGTACCACAATCACACCACAACGACGCCATGTGGTCGGGCGTATATTTTGTATTGAAAATGAATATTTCAATTTACACGTACCACATTTTGGCGTTGTTATCGACCACCTGTGTAATACGACCACATCGCAACTACATCGCGAAGGCAACGCCACCACCGGCGGCGACATCGCGGCCGCATCGCCACGACATGACGTCATCAACAGCGCGCGCCTAGCTGGCGCCTGCTCTCCTTTCATTCTGCGTTGTACTGAGATGCCACGTGGTTGTGCGAAAAATTAAAATGTCCGACTCCGAGACTTGACACGGATATGTTTATTGAGGAAATTCGCAATTTGTCATGCATTTGGGATCAAAGGACAGAGGAGTATTCCAATCGCATAGTAAAAAACAAAGCATGGGAAAACCTTTGCATGAAGTTTTATGAAGATGGAAACAAAAGAAAAAAACCAGTATGGTAAGTTTATTAATTACTATTTATTAAAACGAGTATACCTAACAACACCATTCACGCTTTATTGTACTGCCACGATAATTCACCTTCAGGGCTCACTAAATAGTCGGCAAATTCATTTCTAATAGAATCTGCTCGAATCCCATCATGACTGATCAAAGGAATGCATTCGTAACAAATTTGAAGTTATCGATAAAGTGTCATCGAATTTATAGCCATCTCGCTTGCGTACTATATTATGTAATACGACACATGCTTTCACTATGTCTGTTGCAAATTCAACTGACACGTTAATTGGCCTATGCAATATTCACCATTTGTTAGTCAAAATTCCAAAGGAACATTCTACATATCTTCGTGCTCGTGATAGTCTATAGTTAAAAACACGTTTTATCATTGCTTGCCGCTGTATAGTCGCAGCAAATGTTTGTGTAATCCAAAGGCTTCGTCGCCAATGAATACCATAGGCAAGGGCCTACCTACAGGGGTAATTGGTTGCGGTCCAGGTAGATCTAAATCATTTCTTTCCATTGCATCATATAAACTGCAGTCCCTCCAAATAGTTGAATCGGAAGTTTTACCGTAGGCTCCTACATCAACATACACGAATAAATAATCGGCGTCAAAAGAAATGTTTATAATTAAAGAATAATGAACCACTGCGTGGTGGATGAATAATCCTGATATGTTTGCTATCTATAGCCCCTAAGCAGTTTGGAAAATTTGCTTTCTTTTTAAATTTGTTCGCATTATCAAGCCACATTGTTTTATTACATGTTGATAAATAAATAGGCTGTAATTTATCTCAAATCACACGTCATGGACAATTTTGCTAGCTGTTGAAGTACCACATTAAAAAAAATCGGCAAGATCTTTAAACGAACACCCCGTTGCCAAATATCTGTAACAAAAAAATATAATAAAAACAAATAATAATGACATGGAATTATACACGTTGTTACAAAAGGTTGAAATAAATAACACTGGGGTCATTGTACTGTACTCATGAATACGAACAACTTTTACTATGGGGACACATACGAAATCGTAAAAAATCACCTGTTTCATACATTTAGGTCATGTAGGTATATATGTCCCCATAGTAAAAGTAGCTCGTGTTGAAGAGTACAACGACCCCTTAAATTATTAGGTATTTCAACCTTTTTTAACACCATTCAATAGGCTGATGACATTTTGGGAAATGATCGATTTTAGATTATACTGTACTAATATAAAATAAATCCAGTTAATTTTAATATAGTAAAATTAAAAAAAATATATTAAATACTACTTATTTATATATTACATAACGTGTAGTCCACGCGGGTAGAAGCTAGTACATTAAATAATTATATTTACGCTTTCAAAAAGCGCTTATGCCACCGGTATAAGAAAAACTAATCATTTATCAAACCATATAAAGATGCTTGGCTGTCATAAATTTAAGAATAACTTGAAACTATTAACATGGATATTTAAATATACAGAAATTCTCTTCAATACTGAGTTCATTATATGATCTGATCGCTGTAATTTCGATATTGCAAAATATTATTATTATTATTTTATATGTTATTTTCGAATTTAACTACCAACTTACTTTTCTACAAATTTCAATTTAACAATTAATTTTTCAGCTGCCAACTTACAAAGAAAATGGAAAAGCTTAAGAGACTCTTTCAACAGAGACCTTAAAAAACAAAATTCACAGAGAAGCGGTTCAGCAGGTTCGCAGGTTTGCAGGCAGGCAGTTCAAAAGAAATACTACTACTTTAATCAATTATTATTTTAAAGCCATTGTCTGAAAATCGAAATACAACATCGTCTATCAGTACAAAAACAAAGACAATAACATCAAACAAATTGATAATGAAGACGATAATACTACTGAAACGAGTGACTGAAGTTACGAAGAGACCAAAAATATCCAAAGATGATGCAGAATATGGGTTAATAAAAAAAATAACAAGTCATTTGAGCAATCAAGTAACTGCACATACTCGTACACAGGAACCTGACAAGTCCTGTGACAGTGATATGAATTTTTTGCTATCTTTGTACGATAGATTTAAGACCATTCGCGATGATTGGAAACTGAATGCTCAGATAGAAATATTGAGTGTAATTCAAAAATATCACACACCTACAACTACACGTAATGATAATTACAGTGAATATGGACAGGGGTATACGACACCAGTGTACCAACCTTACGAGCGACCATCAACGTCTAGGTATCGGCCGGATATGGAAACAGGCTCTGCACAGCTTCGCAATTTGCGTACTGCATCCACACCAAAAGATATTTCAGTACCAGAATCTCCACTCAGCATCTCTTCACAGGCTTCAAACTATAATGATCCGATTATAACGGATATTTTCGGAGATTAACTGATTAATTACCTACTCTGTTGATTTTTGATTGACAACATAAATAAAAATATATAAGTACGCTCTTTGTTTTCGCCTTCCTATCCTCCCTACCACAGTTGCAAATTAACTCATTGGCAATAATAAAGGCCTGAGCAGACCGGATGAAAAATTCAATAGTATAATGTAATAAAATAAAACTGCGTTATATTGTAATCAATGTTGACATAATTTATTTCCCAAAGTTATAAATCAATTAAATAGTTTACGCCAACAAATATAACTTATTTTTATAACAATCGTACAGAGCGTTTTGTAGTTCTGCCTACCTAATCTATACATACAGAAAAATTAAAAACTTGTTTTTTACATACACGCCATCTAGTGTTCAAGCTTCGTAAACGTAGGGATATGTGTGTGTGTGTGTGTGTGAACGACATATAGTGAGACGGTAGGTATGTGTGTCATATGTGTAGGTCACAGTCTGGGAATAATTAACGAAGTCCAAGCGTACACAATAAAGTTAATATTTAATCAGTAGAAACAGGTACACAAGTATATAATATATAGTTCCACATAACACAACATAAGAGTCACTAACTATACAAAAATTGAAGGAGTAGACAGTGATAATATACACCAAATTATTTAGAGATATTATTCGCGAGCTAGCAACAGAGCACTCGGTTAGCCAGGCGACATGGGCTTCGCATATGCTGTCGCTAAGCGGACTGATAAGCGCGGTGCGCGGCGTTGACTGCCCAGGCGCAGGGAACTGCATTCCAACGGTATAGTTATTTAGCGTGTTTCCAATGCACACTAGGTTAATGTAAATAATGATTTATTATTAAATATTATATTTGTATTCTAAGATGTAACGGTGGAATTCAGGTTATTTAATAGTTGTAAATAATTAGATATAATTATGTAAATATATAAAACAAATAATATAAATATATAATATATTAAATAATATTAAATAAATAATATATAAGTGTGTATTATGTATATGTACGTATAATATACAATAAGTAGGCTACATCACTCCCCTCCCTGAGACCGTCACTACGGGCGATAAAACTCTGGAAATCGAACTGTGCGGCCTGAACGCGTCCTTCAGACGTCATCCTGAGCTGGAGCATTGGGCTCTTTTGGAACAGGATCAAGGAAGGAACCGGAATTGGGGTTGGATGTGAGAGTGGGAGTACGGATAGGGTTAGAAGATGGGTCTATCAGCATATAGGCTGGCTTGAGGCGGTCTATGGATACTGTGACGCTTTTACCCTTTATTAAAATTCTGAATGTTTTGGCATTACGTTCTAATACTTGGTACGGACCAGTGTAAGGGGGCTGCAAAGAGCCACGTAATGCATCGTCCCTTAAAAATACATGACTTGATGAAAATAAGTCCTTGTGCATAAAAATTTTTACTTTATTGTGACGCGCAGCAGGTGAAGGTTGCAGCTTTGACGTTAATTGGTGCAGTCGGGTGGTAAAGTCCGATATATCGGTTTAGTCGGGAGCTACGGCCTGGAAGAATTCGCCAGGTAAACGTAAAGGCTCTCCGTAAACCAATTCGGCGGATGATGTTTGAAGATCATCCTTACTCCACTCCACTCCATCCATCATTGGGCATTAGGGCACTCCTAATGCCCAATAATACCAAAGGTAACGTGTCTACCCAATTGTTATCAGCATGGCACATTATGGCTGCTTTTAACTGACGGTGGAATCGTTCTACTAGGCCGTTGCAGGCTGGATGATACGCGGTTGTTCTACGATGTTTGAATCCATACATCTTTCCAAGGTATTGGAAAAGTGACGATTCAAACTGTCGACCACGATCAGTGACAATAGCAGTTGGGCATCCAAATCTGGATATCCACGATATTAATGCCTTTCCAACTGTTTCGGCTGTTATGTCTGCCATTGGTATGACTTCTGGCCATCGTGTGAAACGATCCACCGCAGTCAAGCAGTAGCGGTAACCCTGGGAAATAGAAAGGTATTATATTATATATGATGTAGCCTACTTATTGTATATTATACGTACATATACATAATACACACTTATATATTATTTATTTAATATTATTTAATATATTATATATTTATATTATTTGTTTAATATATTTACATAATTATATCTAATTATTTACAACTATTAAATAACCTGAATTCCACCGTTACATATTAGAATACAAATATAATATTTAACAATAAATCATTATTTACATTAACCTAGTGTGCATTGGAAACACGCTAAACAACTATACCGTTGGAATGCAGTTCCCTGCGCCTGGGCAGTCAACGCCGCGCACCGCGCTTATCAGTCCGCTTAGCGACAGCATATGCGAAACCCATGTCGCCTGGCTAACCGAGTGCTCTGTTGCTAGCTCGCGAATAATATCTCTAAATAATTTGGTGTATATTATCACTGTCTACTCCTTCAATTTTTGTATAGTTAGTGACTCTTATGTTGTGTTATGTGGAACTATATATTATATACTTGTGTACCTGTTTCTACTGATTAAATATTAACTTTATTGTGTACGCTTGGACTTCGTTAATTATTCCCAGACTGAGACCTACACATATGACACACATACCTACCGTCTCGCTATAACTGGTGACCCCGACGTGATCTGAACATGCAACCAACAACCTTCGGAAACTTCAAGCTTCATCATCGTCATAGAATACCCCACCCATTCGCTCCCGAACAGAGAATCGTCTTCTGCAGTCTTAAGTTCCTGCAAGCCAGTCCAACTTGTCTTCATCTCGACTCACCGCAGATTTATAAGGCAGACTTCTGGCACTTGCTCCGGCACATCGTTCTCACCTGCATCACTTGCCAGTTCGTAGTACGGCTGCATTACACATCGGCATATCATTCGCACCGGTGTCACTTGCCCTTACGCACACAGCATGCATTCCCCACCGGCAATAAGGACGCACCGGCAATCGGACTGCACTATCGACCTCTGGTCTGAGCAGGGGGGGGATGTGGCGGCGCTGTCGTCGCGCCGCAAGTGAAACACACCGAAGCTTAAATCACGCTATCAACATTCCGAATCATAAACAGCATATGTAGAACATCTCCGAACTATCACACGGAGCGTTGGCCGCACCCCGGGCATAACCCCTTGCCCGGCGGGAGAACTCCCGCTTTTCCTTCCCTGGCCACAGACACTATATTCAATGGCAGATGTTATAATCAAGCTTTGTGTCGAATTGGGTGGATTTTGAGGCAATGATATGACCCATTCCAATAAATTGTAATATCCGATAACCGCAAAGTCTGCTCCTACGACTTAATAATATTCCAATTACACAAAAACCCAAAAAAACTAATAATGTTGATGATTTAATGTTGACTTCAGCGCCATCTTGCGGGAGAATGGCTGGGAGCAGTCCGTAGATTTCACCTTAAATAAAATTTGTAAATAGATTTTACAGCCTTTCATATATATATTGAATAAAACATTATTCTATTTTATTCTATGGCCCAGCTTTCCGCCATTTGGAAGGGTCATGTTATTTTGTTTTTTTTTATTTCAGGCTGTTGTTTTCGACGTCTCTGTTCACAATGGACACGCTGGAGTATTTTCTGAAGCGCATCAACAACTGGAGCTTAGGCCGCGAGTACTACCGGCTGGACGGTTCCGTGCCCGCCGAGGTGCGTCAGAAATGGTGCCGCGAGTTCAACGCCGACAGCAACCAGATAACCAAGTGAGATTCCTTCCTTCCTTTATTTACCACTAGTCAATTTTTTAAAATCGTCAATTACGTGTTCAACTAACACTTGAATTGTTTTTATAAATGAACTATAAACTAACTACGAACTATTTTACTGGAAACGAGGCATTTCATCTTAGTCCTCACGGGTGACAACGCATTTGCATTTTGATTCGTAATCAGGACTAGATGTCTATGGGCCACAGCAACCATTTACCATCAGGTGAACTGTATGCTTGTTTGTCACTCTTATATTATAAAAAAAAACTACACATCTTAGGATCGCTCATTAACCGGTGAACTAGATGAGTGAATTAAAACAGTTTCTATACATCATTCTTTCATCTTCTCTGCAATTTTCTTTTCAGATTATTCCTTATATCAACTCGGGCTGGCTCGCTGGGGCTCAACATGACGGCAGCTAACCGTGTCATTATTCTTGATACTTCATGGAACCCCGCACACGACATACAGAGTATCTTTCGAGTTTATCGATTTGGTCAGAAGAAGGATTGCTATATATATAGGCTAGTCGCTTTGGTAAGTACATAACAGATTACATATTTATTTTAATGACAACTTCTTCAAGTGATGACAGACGCACACTGGTGAACATTGTAATTTTCAAGAAATAAATACCCCATTTAAAACTATAAAAGCGCCATGAGGTATGCGTTATTTGAAAGTCTCACATACTCGCAACGCTGGGCAGACAGGGGTGGTAGCAGAGCCGAGACCTTCACACTGTTAATGTATTTTTGTCATCAGACATGACATTTTTTTAAATGATTTTTCTCTATCATTCGGTCATCAAATCCTCGTCTGTCTAGCAGCAGGTGTGAATTTTGAGTAAAGCATGTATATTCCTCTTTACACTTTGAACCTAGACTATATTATAGAGTCATCTGCTACCATAGACAAATTGTTTTATAACACTATTTGTATCGGAACATTTGCATTTCGATCTTCGATCAACAATACCAAATAGATATCTGGTCGGCTCACAAAGTACGTGCTCTGTGCTATTTCGTGTAGTTCCCTTGAAACACAGCCAATGTTAACACATTTCACAGTACCACAATGTGTATTTAAAAATTGGAAAAATAATGCCCGAAAAACCAATTTAGTGGCCGGAGTATTTTACTTTTGTTAAGTACATGTATGATATGTTACATTTAAGATCTAAACTAACAAATAATATCATATTTGAAACAAAATTACCGATTAAAACCATCCCTTCAAATGTTGTGCCAAGATTGGCCAATACAAGAGTAAACATTTGTGAAACAGAACAGTAGATGCATGGAGTAGATTTGTATTGTAATACTTTTCTAATAATTTGTTACCAAAACTTTAAATGATGGTAATTGCTCCTTTAGTCTCTGTTTGTGTAATTTCATTAGTGAATGTAAATCTTTACAAAAAAAATTTATGATGTCAACTTTATATGTACAGCAGTTTTAAAACTATATATTAACAATAATTTCTTTCCTGGAGGAGATGAACACAATCACGAAATTACTTTACTCAAATCAGTAGTTGAATAAATGCAATCAATATACTAAATACTATATAATATTTAATGGCTGGTGTGGAAAGTATGTATACCAACAAACATAAATACCCAAAACATAAAAATAATTTTAATTAAACTTACAATCATATTATAAATTATTTTGGTGTTCAACGCTACTCTATACCTCCTGCAGCAAAATTCGAAGAAAACAGAAACGGAACAAAATGACGTAGCTTGTAAGGCAATTATGGGAAAAAGTACTTTATTTGTTACAACTTAAGGTTGATTTCATACTGAATGTTATTTAACCTATGTCTTTTCATTTCCAAGTGACAGGAGTAATGTATTGCTTTATTCCTTTTTTGTGACCAATAATCGTAAGATTTGTGACTTTATTACTAGATGCCATGGTTGTAATTAGGTTGAACTTAAAACTGTTAAATTTTTGTCTTGTTTCTTTAGTAAACAAATGTAGCTGTTTAAGTATATGTTCACAAGATTTCGTACGTGACACGTTATCAAGTTGGTATTGTTGATCGAAGATTTCAATATTAATACAAAGTAAAGTATGTAATATTAAAAAAATTATCTGGAAACCATAAAATAATCTCATATAGTCTACTAAACCAAATTTTTACAAACCACAAATTTTTATTTATTATGTCATGTGGAAATATCAGTTTTCATTTCATCATGCTTGTAACCATCTTAACTTCCAGGGTACAATGGAACAGAAGATATACGAGCGTGCCGTGACGAAGCAGGCAGTAGCGTGCCGCGTAGTGGACGAACAACAGATTGATCGCCATTACAATATGGATGAACTCACGGAATTATACAAGTGAGTGTCTAGCATTTAAATTACAATGTAAATAGCCATGTAGCCGTAAGCGATTCCATGGGCAGCCGAGAATATATGGTAAAAGTAATAAAGTAAAGTTACAGCCTATATACGCCCCACTGCTGGGCACCGGCCTCCTCTCATTTATGAGAGGGTTTTAGGGCAAGGAAGTGTCCGCCGCGCTGCCCCAATGCGTGTTGGCGAACTTCACATGTCCTCGAAATATTTTATTTTTATTTCTCAGACATGCAGGTTTTCTCACGATATTTTCCTTCACCGACGAGCACGTGGTAAATAGGCACTTAAAATTGTAATTAACAATTTCATTGGTGCTGGTGGGTATCGAACCCGGGCTGCTCGCTTACTGTGAAATTTACAGTGAGCGCTAACCATGTGAGCTACCACGGCTCTAGAAAGAATATATGGTACTTTTATTTAATTAGTTAAAAAATAATAGTAACGATATAAAATTAAAAATCATACTATAGTTTAAGCAAATGTCGATGATAATTTTGGTATAAATTTTGCCTCAAAATGATGTAGAACTTTGGAGATATTGGGGCTTGCATTGAAGCTTTTTCGGTAGATTATTGAATTATGTATTTTATTTCCTTACGTGAAAGACATAAAAAAAAAATGTATTTTATCATTATTAAAGTATAGGATATTGTAAGATAAAAATATTTTTGATGGTCGATATTCAATAGAATTTACAAATACAGCTCCCAAATCATGTCTCTCAGAGCTTTTGCTTAAACATGTATGGGGAGAATGATTTTTACTAAATAAATAAATAAGTTATTTTAAAATTTATTTTGAGCTTATTGTAGTAGAGAAAACGAACTATTTTCACCAAGTAATTGTTATTTCAAGCAACGAACGGAAATCATATAATTTTAACGAGGAAACCTTGTAATTTCGCGTTATTTTAATACTCCTCTCAACACGGGAGCTGTACGGAATTACCTCGCCATTATAAATCAGTGGATCTCAAGGGGCCCCGAGACGGTCAAACATTTTGATTCAAACACATAGATTTTGGTTTGAGTCAAACCGATTTGATCGTTTACTCCGTTGGTATGACAGGTTTGATCAAACGCTACGTGTTTGAAGCTCGTTTAATGGCAATTTATTTATATTTTGGTTTTGTTTGAAGCGCCATATCTTAATTTGTACCAATATTTGCAAATTCTTTTTCTTTTTTTCTTATTATTTAAGCAAGACTTTAATACAATAAAGGCGAGAAAATCTTTGTCCATAGTCGACGGCAATTTTTGAAATCACAATAGGACTTTCTTGATTGAACTTTGAAGCCACACTTCTGTTAGATGCGAATTCAAAGCGACATCAAAGGGTTTGGTCAAATACGTGAGGTTTGAATCAAACCGTTCGACCGTCTCGGGGCCCCTTAATGATGTGTGACAAAGTTTAGTCCATTTACGTGCGCTGCCTAAGACTATAGCTTGGAATTTGCTGGGATTAACAGTGACCCCATACTTTCTTGACCAATTAAGAATCCAATTAAGCTCAGAGTTAATCACGCTTACAGTATTATTCATGTCCGTAACATTGGCATGAGCATACAGGTGCAAGTCGTCGGCATACATATGATAGGAGGAATGAAAGTTGCTAGTAATCATATTAATAAATATAGAGAATAGTAATGGAGAGAAAATTTCGCCTTGTGGAACACCCATGGTCAAGTCACACCAATCGGAAACCATATCGTCAACACGGACCGCCTGCTGGCGACCACAAATATAGGAGGATACCCAATTCCGTACTGATAAGGAAAAACCTATGTAGGACAGGATGGCGATGAGAATATAATGCTCAACGGTATTAAAGGCGTTAGAAAAATCGATTAAGTCTAACGCTGTCAACTTTTAAAATTCCATATTATCATGCACATTTGACTTAGGGACTTGCCAGAAAGATCTCGGTGGAGGGAACCATATTTTTTTTATAGAATAAGGGTGCCAAACTGGCACAAAGTACATATGTTAAAATGATGTTGTAAATAATATGATAAACGGATGTTATACATCTACATCCATCTCCGATTAAGAATAAAAATACAGATGTGTTGTCACCTCTAAGGACTGAGATGGAATTGGCCGTTTCCAGTTAAAATGGTCTCAGCTTCTCTACACTCACTATATCAAACACAGCAGCAATAAGCTGGTTATTTTACCCTAGTGTTCTTGGAGAACAACTTCCTTCCTATAAAGCTTGTATTATGATAAATCAAACCGCATGCCAAAGGAAAATCCTCCCTTATATATAGAAGAGGCGAATGTGGATAATCGATAGGAGGAGAAGTATAAAGAAAACATAGTTTGTCATTAGAAATAGGCTGACTTTAGTTTTTATTCATATGCTTTACTTTCTGAAGGCCAATCTACGTAGTATACAAAATATTGTAATTGATTGTTAAAACCAACGTTTGTTTATAAAATAGTTTCAGATAATAATTGGATGCACATTAAGAGCCGTCTCATGTAAACATACCTACATTATATTATAGGCAGGTATCTTGTACCTATGCCTATAGATGCTTACTTACGAATCGACGTATACTTACTTTTCAACATTAAAATAAACTACATACCTACCGAGGTATGTACCTAGTTTATTTTTATGTTGAAAAGTACTTCACCATTATTTTATTTGGACACTATCGTCCAATGCGCTTCTTGTAAACTAATAAGTACCAACAAATATTTTATTATAAATTTTTATCCCAAGCGTCTTGGACGATGATGTCCAAATAAAATAATGATGAAGTACTTTTAAGGTGACTCTAGTCGACATTATTTCCATAGAAATTTCGGAGGGGTTTTACTCCGCTGTTTGACAGTGTACATCCAAAGTTAAACATGATATCGTTTTGTCTCATTATTAATTTTGTCTGTACCGAAACAGAATAGTAAAATAAAAAGTCAGTAAAAAGTTACGAGCTACCAAAGATTCGTTTTTATTGCCAATTTTAACACAACTTTGGGCGTAAATTAGTAATAAAAGCAGTGTAAAATTTCCAAAACAAAGTCGGTACCGTCACAGCTCAATTATCGAAGAATTCAATGAATTTTATTGGTAATTGATTCATGCAGTGGGTTTTTCATAAAACCCCTCCTTCCAAAGGCCTTTTCGTATTTTTTTACGCGCGCGTGTTTATATGAATTATCGTGCATCTCACTGAATAATTTTTCCCTCGGTGCGGTGCGGGAGGACGACACTTACACACACATGCATGCGCGCTGACGCGCGCTTATTCTAGCAGGTTTTCTCAATATGTTTTCCTTCACCGCCGAGCATGTGGTAAATCAGCACAATTGCAATTAACAATTTCATTGATACCGGCGGGGATCGAACTCGGGTCTGCATGTCTGAGAAATTAAAAAATATATATTTCGAAGAAATGTAAAGTTCGTCAACACGCATTGAGGCAGCGTGGCGGACATTTCCTTGCCTTAAAACCCTCTCAGAAATTAGAGGAGGCCTGTGCCCAGCAGTGGGACGTATATAGGCTATAACTTTACTTTTTTTTACTTTTATAAATATGTTATTTTACCGACGAAAATTTTAAAGAAAAATAAAAAAATAAGCAACCGACAACCTCCTAGGTCCCTAGGTGACTTGCGAGATGTCAGTGTAACAAAACAAAACGGCCCAGAAAAACAGACATTCCAACTGATAGCTAAATCAGCACGCAACAATTTCATTGGTGCCAGTGGGGATCGAACCCGGGTTGCTCCCGTACTGTAATACCTATAATGAGCGCTAACCATGTGAGCTACCACGGCTCTCAACGACATCGTTCCGTTCGTGTACAGCGCTGAAGATAGCAGAGTAAAAAATTAGAGATTGTGGTGTTTGAAATTTTAAAAAATGTGTTTTTGTTACTAGTACTTTTATATGCATTTAATAAAAAGCTGTTATTTTAACATTACAAAGAGACACTTAAATTTTATTTATTTGTAGATATAGATATAAGATATTATTCATATTGGTGTCATTTTAAAGGGAATATCATGTACTATTATAATAATAAAATAATTCTCTCCAGTAAATATTATGCTTTTCTTGTAAAACTTGAAATAACAAATAAATACGATTACTTAAATTTACGCGAACACTACACATTGCCCATGGTCCCCCCCCGTGACCATGGGCGCTGTAAAGCACCCGAAACGTCGGGATAATAATAAAAATAAATTAAAGTAATTAAACGCGATAAAATCCGTAAATAATAGTTTTATTCAAATAAATACGATTTATTTTTATATTCCCATATGCTTTATTTTCATCCTTTATTTTTTATTTGACCAATTTTCTTTTAACAAAATTAAATTCTGAATTGGTTGAGCTTTTTGAGAATATTTTTATTTGAATGTTAGGTAGGTACCTACCTATTTAGTTTTTCAGTAGTAATCGTTTTTGCCTACCTACTACTACCTGCCTAAGTACGTCGGTACTAAGGAAACAGTCTTGACGGGTCACTTGTCTTGATAAAAACATGTGTTTACATCTAGTGATATTGTGTGTATATAAAAAAAGTAAGAAGACAGGTAAGTATTTTTGAAAACAATTTATAGGTAGGCAGAACTAATTACAATTATTATCTAAATATTATAAATCCGAAAGTTTGGACGGATAGATGTATGTTACTCAATCACGCCAGAACAGCTGAAGGGATCTGGATGATATTTAGCTCAGAGATAGGTTATACCTGGTCTGGAATAACACATTTTTTGATACCGTTTATTCAGGTATTTCGTTCCTGTGGGATAATTTTCGAGTTCACGCGTTTGAAGCCGCTGGCAACAGCTAGTACGGATATAAATTGCGATGACTGTTCCAGTTCATGCTTCGGCGTCGTGAACTCTTGAGTGATCGCTGCATGACCACCCGGGGAAAACAAAACATAATAAAATAAGCAATCTATATTAGGTATCTATAGAGCCATAGAGGTATAGTATAAAACGATAACGTAGCGC